TTGGTTTCCCAGTCAATCTTTCCAGCTGAAATGCTTTTCAAATTTGTTCTGGTAGGGGTTTCTCACCCTTGTTGTGCTGTTTGTTTGCTCTGCCTTAAGAGGCCAGGCCTTGTGAGCTTGTGAACTGATCTCTCCAGAGATATGATAGGGCCCTGGCTGATATTGCCAATGTGTTTTTTATTTAAAGGCAGAACCAAACAATCCCATGTTGGGCTATTAGAAGAAAGAAAAGAAAAGAAGAAAAGCTAGCATTGCACGAGGGGAAACAAATTGAGGAGAGAGCCAGCACAAGCCTGAACCAGCACTGCATCACCACAGTCCATCTGCCCTGCCCAGCCACGCTGGCTAGATCTTCGGAGTTGCAGGGCAACCTATCTGGAGGGCACCAGGTTGGGGAAAATGCTGTACTTTCTCATAATATCACTAGCATTTACTACCTGATCCTCTCCTACTTCCAGAATTCATCACATCTCACTATGCATATCAAAGTAACAGCATCTGTCTGCACCAGCTGTTTTCTTTTAAACAGAGCCCAGGAACAACTGTCAGAGTTGGTACCTCATCTGCAATGGGTTGCATCTAGTTGTGCTGCTTCACAAGCAGTGAGAAACAGCTGGAGAAATAGTTTTTCTCCTTCCTCTTGTAGCCCTTACACATGCTCCAAACCTGCTGTCACGGTGTTTCCAGCAAGCAGATCTGGGACATCATGCATAGTAGGGAAAGGCAGGAAAAACTCATTGTACTAGCAGGCGGGTAGCATCCAACTGAATATTATCCCCTCATTAATTGTCAATTTAAACTTTTTTTTAACAGGAAGTAAATGAGGCAATAACTAGATAAAATGGTTGACCAGGTTTCCTACATTCTTTTTCTTTTACTATTAAAATCTGCTGTGGGGATGATAAGTGGAAAAGTCCTTTTATATTAGTAGAATTTTGTTTCCACTTGTTTGCTACTGTAACTGCATACTTAGAAAGGTTTCAAAGATAGGTCCACTTGTATGACCTGACTCAAACATCTGAAAATCAAGTACAAAAGTCACTTATGAATATTCTAATAAATATAAGGGGTAAGCAAGGCTAGCAACTTGAAACTGGAATCCGTTTTTATTTGCCAGAGGCACTGATCGGCTAAATGTATGCAAGCAGAAAGTAGAACATAAAAAACAGAACAAAAATAGCTGTGAAATGTATGCAAGGAATTCACACCCCTAAGAACATAAGATCCATACTGGATTGGGCAGTAGTTATAGGAGGCATTTTAAAAAACCTTTCTGCCCACACCATTTTCCTAACCTAAACGGTCCTGTCTGGAAGCTAAGAGGGAAAACAGTGGGTGGTGGTGATGGTCTTATGAGTGAGGATGACAGGGATAATGCGCCATGGCCCTTGCTTGGACCACTACCAGCTTGTTTCCCTTGAAAGATTTCTCCAGTGGAATGCAGTTGCAGTGGAAACAATTTTGCCCACTCCCAATCCAAAGTTTAAATCTTACAGAAAAGGCAGAGTGAAACTCAGAGATAGTCAAACAACCCTGGAACAGACAAGTAAGTTTACATAAGACAACAACCCTTCTAATTGCATTTCTTAAGGAGCTGGGATATAAACAAGGGATACAAACTCTTGTTTGTCCATTATAGCTTTCCCCAATTTGGAGCCCTCCAGATATGTTGGACTACAACTACCATCATCTGCAGGCTGCATAACCAATGACCCTATTGGCTAGGAGTAATGGGAGGCATAAACCAACATATCTGAAGAACTGCAGACTGGGAAAAGTTGATGGATTCTACCCAGAGATCTATCTATGTCCCTGTTTGTTTCCTGTGTACCCCTGAACTAGACGCTCCTTTTGCAATATCAGCCTACAAAAACTGTTTGCTTCTTTTTTTAAAGGCAGGACCAAGTGTTATCACTCTGTGGCTGTGTCCATTCACCAGCTGCTTTCCTCTCTGGAACAGCAGAAGAGGAAATCTTGTATTTTGTCTTGACTTGGCTCCAATACGTCCCTGTGTTATTCTGTGTGTGAGTGCGTGCGTGCGTGCACGCAGTGTACACACACAACAAGCAGCACAGGAATCATGCATGAGTAACTTCTGGCAAGGAAGAGCTCCATATTGCCTCTTCACATGGCAGGCTCCAGCCCTGCATCACAAACAGCACTATTGGGGGAGGCTGCAGCCAATTTGTTTGCAGCAAAAGCTGTAGCCTGCAGGATCACACTCTTCCCTGTCAATAAGTCTATTTGGGAAAACCCGGGTGGGTTGTGGTTAAAGTTCTCTGAAGTGCTGAGCCTCTCTCTGTCTGCCAGCCTAATCACAAAGAATCTTTCCCGGAAAAGTCAGATCTCCCTCAGGATGGAAGTAAATAACTTAGGCGGAAACCTGTGCCTGAATCTCTGCTGGGCATTTTATGTGAAAAGATGCTCTAGGGGAAGGGCAGAGCTGAATTACAGGGGTGGTGCTGGGGCGGGGGAGGGGAGATTAACCCTTATGGGTAACTGTATGTCTTCTCTTTTTCTCTATTTAGAATCTTAAATAAGAAAAAGAGACCATATGGGTGGGGGTACTCAGAGATCCTCGTTACTCTCACTTCTCCAGCTCTGACTCACCCCCTGCCCCATCCAGTCACATGACTGTTCATCTCCCTGTCCTTTTTCCTGTCTCTTGACCATCCCTTGGATAGCTACTTGCAAATTCCCTTGCCCCCAAAAGGAAAACACTTCACCAAAAGAAGAAAAATGATCAAAACAATTTTCATATACTAATTCATAAATACAGGTGCAAATTTAGAAATATTTCTTGTCACTTAAATAAAAATACAGTGCATCTTACCACATTGTGAAAGATTGTGGCCAGGTGCCCTTGTATTGTCCCTATGCTAACTTGTTAATGGGCAACATTAAATAGAAACTGAACAGGATTACCCTTCAAATAGAGGATGATCCTCTGGCAGCCTATCGTACAGAGGACTGTCCTCTGTAAAAGAAGACACATGCTCGCCCTGACTCCCATGTGCTTCTCCCAAAGATTAGCTGGTTTATTGGGCACTTGCAGCAGGCAACAATCCAAAGGCCACTTCTGCTACCAGAGTGAGAGAGAGAAACACGTGAAAGCGTTCAGGTCCACATCATAGCTCCCAGGTGCAGTTATGCAGTGTGGTAGCTGAAGTGTTTTCCAAAGAACAGCACACTGCTGTAGCCACCCCGCTCTGTGGCTGGGCCTCTGGGACTGCAAATGCACTTGCCTTCCAGGTCTTATATTTGTGGTAGTGTCAGTAGCAGGTATATAAAAGTTTGAGAAGTCCTGTGGGAGGACAGTGGAGCCCACATAAAGTAAGACTGAAGGCTACACACAGCCCATGGGCTGCCAGTTGCCCTCCTCTGCTATTGCTAGAACAGCTTGCTGTTTCCTGAAATTGCAAGAAACTGACTGGGCTCGTACTTGCAAGTTATCTCTCAACTTCAGTATTTCTCACTTGTAGAGTGAGTAAGCGTATAAATTGGCCACATCTGACCTGGTCTTTTTGCAGCTCAGTGGGGGGTGGGGAGGTGTCATAAGAGTTTTATGTTATAATCCTTAATCTGTCATAACTCAGTTTTAGTTTGGTATTTGTATATGTCATTCATGGGAAATAGGCGGCGGGTTCAGCCCCCTGAGAGATAGCACCTGCCTCGGTCTGCAAGTCCTATTTTACACCTGCCTCAGCCCTCAAGTCCCATTTTGTACCTGGCTCCAGTTGGCACTCCTTGCCAAAGCAAAATAGATCCCACAAGTCTTGTGTCTGCCAAACCAAGATATACAGTTCACAAGAACCTAGACACACTTCCCTTTATAATAGGCCGGGGTCTGTAACTTTTGACTCAGCTTGCTAGCCAAGCCAAAAATTGTGATCACCAGGTTCCTCCCACTCCTGGGAAGACCCCCACCCGCAGCCTTTCCAACTGAAAAAAGCCAGCAGGGAGCATGCCAGCTTGGCTGCAGCTGGGAGGAGGCGCCCGGAGAGCCTCCACTCAGTGATTGCCAAGCCATCCCCCACTTGGCCTTTCCGGCTGTGAAAGCAGCCAGCTGGCTTGCTCACTGCTGGGTGGAGGTGCTCAGGGCACCTCCGCCCACTAGTGGCTAAGGAATCCCCCCTTAGTCAATTTTTCATGCTGAAAAAGCTGGTGGGGGGCTTCCTCCTGTCAGCACTTGATGCAAGGCACCTAGAAAATGCAGTGCCCAACAAATATTATCATGGCCAGCGAATGAGCATGAATTAGACTTATCTACCAAAGGAATTCAGTGGTGGCGAGCAGAGCAAGGAATATTCAGGAGCACCAAGGTATTCCATTATGGCACAAAACAAATGAAACATTCTACATTTTGGAAAAAATACCTGAAATATTATCAGATTATTGCAGTATTGTAAACTAAAATATGGATTTCTGAGCTGTGGAAAGGGAAGAAAGCTAGTAGTGGTAGGGTGTGCGTTAAAAACAAAATAACTTCCTAGATGGAGGCTTGTTTCAGGATGCTTAAAATTTTTGCTGTTGTTGTTTCTATTTATCTTACTTATCTTTCTGCTGAAAACTTCAATAAATATAATTGAATAAGTACAACTGAGCTGGGATAATGAGTCTCTGAATGATGCCTATAGGGACAACAAGATGTCTTTTTCTTTGAAAAATTATGTTGTTCTTTAAAAGAAGAATCCAAGGAGTGTTCCAGTTATTCAAAATGTCACACAAAAGTAATACAGCAATCAATAACCAAGCCCATCAATCAGCAAAAATTAAAATCAACCTGTGTCTGAAGGTACAAAAAGTGTTTTCTAAATGTCCCTTAAAGCTAGCTTTCACTGAGGGCGAGTTCCATAAAGTGTGATGCATATGGAGGGAAATGAACCATGTCTCCTTTATTTGTAATCAATATGAGAATTTATCATTTGATCTACATTTCCCTGAAGAACTGTGAGGAAGGAGATCTTTGCCACACACAAGTCATCAACAGCAATGCTCACCTTATCCTGCTCCTGACGGTTCAGAGCTTCCAATTTCACCCGATCAATCTCTGCCCTGACAACTGTGAGTTCTCGCTGCAACTCACTTTGCTTTTCCAAAAGTAGATTCTTCTCCACTTCTTTCTGGGATATAGCCTGGAGATGGTGAGAAGGGAAACTTCTGGCCTCTGTAGTCCATGCACTGGTAACTTCACATTGACGTTAGTAAAAGAAACTTGGTGTGAGGCTACCCTTATGCTAGCTGGTACAGAATGTGGAAGTTAGCATGCTGTGATGTGATATGTGGAGACCAGGATGCTGACTGGGATGCCTGGATGTGCGTGTGTTACATGAGTGTTGAAGCAACTCTACTGGCCATTAGCTACCAAGTCAAGTTCAAGGTTTTGTTGGGGCATTAAAAGCTCAGAGTAACTTGGGACAGGCGACCTGATGAATCACTTAACTGGATACAGACTACTTTGGTAACCAAGATAATTGTAGGAGGCCTTTCCTCTTGTACCACAGCCTGCATAGTGCCACTGGTGGAAATCCAGAAGTAGGCTATTTCCATGATGGCACCCGGTTTGGGGAATGTTGGAGGCACCACAATGGCATATTCTAGTGCAGTGATTCCCAAAGTGGGCAGTACTGGCCACCTGGGGGTAGTGGAAAGATCCGGGGGGGGGGGGGCAGGAATCAGTTGTTTTAAATTTGCAGTAGAGCAATAGGCCTAATACAAAAAAGTCAAAAAAGGGTCACTGGGGTTGTCACTCAAGAGGAAAAGGGGGCAGTAGCACAAAAGAGTTTGGGGACCACTGTTCTAGAGGCTGCAGACCTGTCGTTTTCACCCAGACTGGGATGCTTAGTTTTTGGTTGTTCATTCTCTAATTCAAAATTATTTGTGAAGTTCCACCCTTGCTGGACAGAAGCTTCTTCTACTACTACTACTACTACTACTTTTTTTTACTTTAAACAATTTAACTAAGATGTTTCACATTTTCTATTTTTAACTTTTAACTGTTGTTGTTTTGTATATTAAATGTGCAAGCTGTAAACCACTTTTTAGATATAGTGAAGTCATTTATAGGCATTTAAATGATTTTTATTGCTTAAAAATGGTTTGATGGTATGATTTTATTGTGTTTTATTAGCTATTGTAATTTGCTTTGGGTCTATAATAAAACTTTGGGCACTGTTTATATAAACTATTGATTGTCCTTTAATTTCCCATTATTACATAGTAATAGGTGATTAATAGGCTGCCATACAACAGTATTTGGATGAAAATTCACGAGCAATAAAACTCATATTTCTCTGATGGGCTCAGAGGGAAACACATGTGAGTATTTCAGTTTCTTTCCCCTCAAATAGACAGTAAGTCTTGCTGAGATGCTTAGTTTTCCCTCCCTTCCACCCCTACTACCTTCTCTGCTCCTGCTACGAGTAGTGCCCAAGTCCTATCCATGTTTCCTCATGGAAGTGGGCACACAGAATGGCATGCTGAAATGCTGACAGGGAGCACTGATGGATGTCTTCTCACCTGAGCTGCAGTACTTGTGAAGTTTATTCTAGCAAGTGATGCTACAGAGTGCGACACAGACTCCTCAGTGCAAGCCGGAGGTTCCAGTCACTGCCATTCTGGCATGAGTTCATTCATAAATTCACTTCATCCCATTTCCACATCAATCCACTTTTTTTTAAACATACATATATACAATATGTATTTTATCCTAAAATACACACTGTTATGCATTTTTGCAGAAATACACATTTATATATGTAATTTGACCTGGAATCCAAATTTGTCTGCCCAGTTAGGTGTATCTTTTTTGAACGGAGACCTCTATCTCAAAATTGGAGAAGCACGAAAACCAAGGCATAACTGCATTCCAATCTGTACATGAGTCTGGGAGTCTAAATAAGATCAGTTTGCTGAAAGCTGGAAACCAAACTCAACCCATGAGCATTCCTATTTAATATCTTATGTCACCAGCTGGGAAGAAGTGGGAATTTGGGGAGCCTACTTTCACTCAGCTCTACTAAGAGATTTCCACAGTGTAAACTCCTAGTGGGCATTCTGCTTAGACAGACTGGAGCAAAGTAGGACTCTCCTCCCAGAAAATGTCCCCCTTTCACCTCAGTCCTCCTCACCTTCTGTTTTTCATTTTCTAGCAAGAGAAGGCTTTCTTCCCGGTTCTGCTGCAAAGTGAGGATTTCATCCATGAGATCTCTCTTTTCCGCTTCAGACTTGGCCACCAGCTCCTCCTTCTCTTGCTGGAAATGATGCATAGTCTTTTCTTTCTCCTCAGTCAATGTCAGACGTAGGACCTCCTGGTGGGAGCAGAGCAGGTTGTTATCAGGTAAACTGGTATTGTGCACAGGCAAGATCTTCCTGGCCACTCGCTTGTCTCCTGTGTCTGCCAAGAACATCTGATCTTAAAGAGGTTTAGTGCACATGCAGAAACCATGACAGGGACTAGCAGGACTCCAAGGGAAAGGACACCGTCCAAGCGCAATACATTATGAGTTGAATGCCATTCTGGTACATGACATGCACTCCAGAAATGCTGGGTATGATTATGCGCACATCTATTCATATATGTTTTCATTCTATGCTTCCTCCAAAGTCAGGGCACCACACAGGGGGTTCCCCTCAACTTTTTCTTCACAACAACCCCATAAGCAAGCTTAGGCTGAGATCCATTGAAGAAGTAGCCTGGTGACCTTGACTGAGAAATCCCCATTCGGGTCCAACACTCCAGTTAATGCATTATACTGCCTTGCAATATTATCATTACAGGGAATGATCCAGTCCCAGTTTACATGTACTATGAAGTAAATAGCTCCAATTTATAAACATGGGTGCTCTTCAGAACTCATGTGACTTATAATGCTGCAGCTAATGAGCAGTATAGAAATGTAATAAAGAAATAATTCCTACAAAAGATACACACACTTTAGTGTTATGTACACCCCAGTTGTTTTAAGAATAATGTTTCAGGGGTTTCAGCACTTCACCTGGATTTGATTTCCTTTGAAAAGGGCAACCCACTAGTTCATGGCTTCTTTTTTTTTTTTACAAATACACATGTTAAGCACAGATGGAAGTATACAGCCTAAGCCCACTCCAACATTAGTTTTATTATTATAACATACAAAATGATAAATTATGAATCTTTTGAGAATGTCCTGGGTCTGACTATGGGTTGCAGCAATACAAGTTGTTAAACCATTTTAGTGTATGACATCCCTGCAGTGTAGTTTAGAGTTGTTATCTAGACTGCTGCTGGCTTAGGGGGTTTTTGTTTATATTTTTAGAGAAATGCAGTGAGGGTCAGGGCTGGGGATGGTAAAGTATTTAATAAATAAATGGATTGTTTTTAAGTGCCACAAAACTCTGCTATTTGTTGTTAATACAGTTTCTTGAGATGATGTTTATGCAGACAATGCATTCGAACAGGTAGAGAATCTGAGAATCAAAAGGATGTTTTAAAAATTTTGAACACTCAGTAAGAGTGGGTGTCACTATTCAGGCTTCTTTCCCTGGTTGTGTAAAAATTTCCAGGGAGGTACTGAATGCATCAATGGCAGTTATAGGACAAGGTCCCCAGAGAAGCCTGTCTGGCACCAACTTCATTCTAACATACTACTGTCCTCTATGACAAGGCACTTAATGAGTTATATATTATATTGGAGCATTATTTCAACTGCTTAACAGGTCGTGTGATTCAATCTGTGTAAGCTGTTGCAGCCTTTAAAATGCGGTTTAAAATTTGGCTTTTAAATTTTATATTGCATTTTCAATGAGGTTTTCATTATTATTTTGCATTTCAGTTGTACTTTACCTGCCATCTGGGCTAAATTGCCCAGAGAGCTTCAGCTGTTGGAGATGATGAATTATATTTCTCTGCAAACCACCACACATATATGTAAATGAATGCACACAGTTATGCAATGCACAGGTGGCTCATTTACATGCTTGGAAGGTTTATTATGAAAATACTATGAGAAAATTATGTTTTGTATATAGAATTCTTTGCTTTTTAAATAAATTATAGTGTTCTTTCTTCCAGGAACTACAAATCCCCCCATTTTTACCCTCACAAGACTGAGATAGGTAAGGCTGTGAGGCAGTGATCCAACCGAGAACATGCTGCCTCCTCCACCAGCAGCAAAACGTCCTGGGCCAGTACTGGCTGTTTGTGTGTTGTGTCTGAATGAGGCAGTGCCTATATCTGTTTTGCATGCATGTAAGAGAGGGAGGGTGCTTTAATGTATGCTTGTGTGCTGCATACTGTAAAAGGAGGGAGCCTGTGTTTGCATCTGAGGTTGCTTGTATTTTAAACCAAGGAAGAATTGTAAGTACTTCACTTCCAGGAAAGCCTGGGAAATGATGTCCACTAAAATGTGTAGTGAAAGGTGTTTTTTCATTATCACTGTACAATTGGCCATGCTGTGCATATACACAGATTTCATGTGCAAGATCAGTGCTACAGGCAGAGTAGAAGGGTCACAACAGATAATAAGCCCGGGGGTCCATCATGGCCTTGATGCAGCCCTGAGGATATCATGGTCAACACCAGCATCAGCATGACTTGGTGTGGTTGGCTGATTTCACCCCAGTCTCTGCCCTGGGCTTGCATGAAGTCATTTGATTCTCTGTGTAAAGGGAGTTGTTAGGGAAGGAAGAGAATGTGGGTTCAAAGAAGGGCCTTTATGTGGCTGTGTGATTACACCCCCCCCCCCCCATTGTCAGCCAGTACACTCATAAAGTCCATGAGACTCAGTGCTTTTTCTGTGTATGGGCTGCTGGCAACTTAGCGTTCGGTATTCTGCCTCTGATGACCCACTTGGCTCTGCCCTCAGTGATGTATCCCTTACTCCACCGGTCAGATTGATCACCAGCCTCCACTGATTATACAGTTTCCACTAGATAACAAAAGTGACATGGGCACAAAGCACTAATTGCTTTCCCCACCCTGCTCAACACCAAAGATTCATGATATTTCAAACTGATTTAATTTTGTCCAGATCACTTGAAACCAAGATCACCATCAATGGTAGAAATGTGTGTCCATCATTATCTCTATGCAAAATGCCATAGCAGATGCTAGTGCCCCTCATAAAGCCTGGGTTGGTCTCACTGTCTTCTAACTCAGAAGAGTCCCATCAGGAGATAATTCCTCCAAATAAGAAGAACAATTTCAGAGTGGATGACATATATGAAAGTAGAACTGAGAAAACCTCAGAGCACTATGACAGTTCAAACTCTAGTGATGATGAAACAAGCTTATTATTGAAAATTAGAATCAAATTTGCTTAGTGGATGTAGTGTTTTCAAGGCAATGCCAGTGTGAAATAGCGGTTACAACATTGCCTTGACCTGGGTTCAAGTCCCAACTTGGTCACAAAGCTCACTGGGAGACTTTGGGCCAGTCACCAACTTTCAGTTTAGGTTAAACTAAAACCTGTCAGGGTTACTGTGAGGTCCAAATGGAGTGGAGGAGGATCATGTATGTGTTTGTTGGAGGAAAAGGCAGGATATAAATGTAAATTGGTCTAGCTCTGGGATGAGTAGCTGCCAGTTGAACTAAGACTATTGTTTGCATAGGGTCTGAGGCCTTCAGCCCTGACCTTCTCCTTTCTGAGGCATTCAAGGTCCGCTTCAAAGCTCAGCTTCTGTTTCTTTATGGTCTGCTGGCATTCTTCTTCCATCTGAGTCAGCTGAAGCTTCCACATCTCTATCTCTTTTCTCAGCAAGGTCTCTTGGAGCTCAAGTTCATGAAGTGCTTTTCCCAGTTCCGCTATGGCAGAAAATGTAACCCATTCAGTACATATACTTCAACATTCCCCAGTACAGGCAAAAGCCTGTTGAGTAAGTTTGATGGGTACTGACAAATGATAATCGAGTGCATGTCACCAACCACCAGCTATCAAGCCCACTGGTAGCACAACCAGATCACAGGTGAGATTTAATTAAGCATGCACACACACACACTCTCTGTTGGACGCTTTCAATGAACTTTTGGTGTTCTAATTAGTTAACCAAAAAGATTCCTTGGCCATGAATTACCATCAGTTGATGCAAAAGGGTCAAGGTTACTGTTGTTCCGTATCAGACTCAGCCTTGTATGCACTGTACCTTGGAGGGTCTTCTTGGAATTGTCAATGCTTTGATTTTCTCCTTCCAGTTGTTCCTTGCGGGCCTCCAGCTGTGCTACCAGCTCTTGTGCCTCAAAAAGGCTCGTTTCCAGAGATTCCTTCTCTACTCTAAAACAGATAGGAAATAATCAGCACCAGCAATTATGCTGTCAATACCTTGATTCTATAGGCGTCTACAAACAGCTGTTTGGAAAAGGGACAAAAGAAATTGATGTACAATTTCTATTCATTCAATACCCTAGAAAGTTTATTGGCCCTGGGGATTTCATCCACCACAGCACCCTTGCTTGCCCTCACTCATCCACATAAGATCCAGGAAGCAGGAATTATGCAATCACTCTGTACATAGATTCTCTCTTGGCTATTCTCTCATGCTTTCTAGGTTGGCACAGAACTGCAGAACTGAGAGCACTGCTCTGCCTGAACAGAACAGAAGGAGAGAGGAAAAGTGGCATTTGACTGAAATAGAGAACAAGGCCAAAACCTTGTGTGAGGTGTTGGATTAGGACTGGTGGATTCAGGTGGTCAGGTCCAGGACACAGGTGGCAGGTATCTATGGCTAGAGCACCAGGGCAAGGGGTGATAAAGATCTGGGCACTGATGCAGTAGGGCAGAGGCAAAGAGAAACAAGTCAGAAACAAACAAGGTCAAATTTCCACAGCAAGGCACAACTAGCGCAAAGGCAGAGCCAGGAACAAGTGAAGTCAGATACTGACAGAGCACAGCAGGATAAAGGTAATGGGAAAGTCAGGGCAGACATGAGTAGGAAAGTGACAATGCACGGCAGAACCAGAGGTGAAGGCAAGGTCAGGAGCAGGCAAGGGTCAGATACCCAGCAAGGTGTAGCTGGGCCAGAGGCAAAGGCAAACATCAGGTACCGGGCAAGGCAGAGTCAGATGGGAGGCAAGATCAGAGTCAGGAGCAGGCAGGAGGCCAGGCATGGCTGAGGACAAGACTAGAGGCAGGATCAGGAACACAAAGCAGCCACCGCAGAGGCCCATGGTGCTGTGGCCAAGCAGAGCAGTGCAGGGTAGCAGTCTACAGAGCCTGCCAGAGGTCCCAGATGTGCTGTGTGATCACACCTGCTCCAACCTTTGCAAGTGCCTACACGTCTGCTCATAGTCCTGCAGGTACTTGTAGGGTGAATTGTGCTGCTCTTCACCATCACATCACCAGGGGAACTGTGTCAAGGCTTCAGACCAGGACCCAGGTTCAATTCCCCACTCAGTCATGAGGCTCACTGGGCGATCTCAGGCCAGTCCGCCCCCCTGCCCCAGCTTATCCTACTACACAGGGCTGTTGTGAGATAAAATGCTAGGGAGATCCATGTGTGCTACTACCTTGAGTTCCTCAGCGGAATGGCAGAATATAAAGAAATGCTGTTGCTGTGTACAGGACTGGACAATGTTGGAGATCGCAGTGTTCCTTCTTTTTGTTTTTCATTAATCATATGTGACATGCCCTTGCTCCATGTAGATTTGCAGCACAGCACCCAGAAACTTCAGAACATGGAATCACTCCCTTGCAGGAGCTCTGTAAATGTATTCCCAAGTTGCCTCTAAAAGGTGCTAGAAATGTTGACATACAAGAGGCTAAAATGGTTGGCTTACAGACTTAAGAAAGAAAGAGAGAAAAGATTAATCCTTAAAATGTTTGACGATAATAAAGAGGAGATCTGTCAAAATGGAGAAATTAGACATATAAAAGAATTTTATCAGAAAGTGTATAAGAGACAAGAGAGCTTCAGAGGTTCAATAGAAAAATATATTAGAAAACAACACATCTCTCATTTGACAGAAGAACAAAGGACTATATTGAATAATCCTATAACAGCAATGGAGATAAGTGAAGCTATAAAAAGACAAAAAATGGGGAAAGTGACTGGACAGGATGGATTTCTGGCAAAATTCTAGAAGACTTTTGAAGAAATCTTGATGATTCCATTGAAACAGATATGTAATATTGGACTGCAAGAAGCTTTTATCCCACTGACATGGTTGGAAGCTAATATTACTTTGATTCCCAAAGATGATACAGATCCTCAAGAGATACAGAATTACAGACCAATTTCACTCTTAAATTCTGACTATAAGATTTTTGCCTCAATATTGGTGGAAAGATTGAAAAAGATTCTAATTGACTTCATTCATACTGTTCAAAATGGCTTCCTGCCAAAAAATGTGAGAACTATTTGGATGTTTTGGAATATTATGAAATGCATCCAGAAAACAGGTGGCCTTAGTCTTTTTGGATGCGGAGAAGGCCTTTGACAACATGAATTGGGAATTTATGATAGAACAGTTGGAGATAATGGAATCTTGAGATAACTTTTTAAATGCAATTAAGAGTATCTACACTGAACAAAAAGTGAGAATAATAGTTAATGGTGATATTACTGAACATATATCTACTGAAAAAGTAACAAGGCATGGATGTCCTCTCTCACTTTTACTGTTTATATTAACTCTTGAGGTACAGACTAGGAACATAAGAGAGGATTCGCAGATTAAAGGATTAAAGTTAAAGACCAGAAATATAAATTACAAGCTTTTGCAGATGATCTTGTCTTCATTATGGAAGATCCTTTGGATACAATTCCAAAACTATTAGATAGAAGAATATGGATAAGTGGTAGGGATGAAAATTAATAAAAGAAAAAGTAAAATACTTGTGAAAAACATGATTCAACTACAAAAGGATGAATTAATGGAACTATGCGGGCTTGAAATAGTCAAAAAGGTTAAATATTTGGGAATTTACTTAACTACTAGATGTGCAACTGTAAAGGAAGATAATTATGTAAAGCTGTTTAAGGAGGTTAAAAGGGACTTGGAAAAATGGAAGGACTTGCATATTACAATGTTGGGAAGAATTGCCACAATAAAAATGAATAAACCTCCTAAATGTTTTTTCTTGTTTCAGACCATCCCAATAAAATTAGAGAAGAATTTTTGTGACAATTTAAATATTCTTATATGTAAATTCATATGACAAAGGAAAAAGCCTAGAATTAGTTTGGTAACAAAGATAATTGTAGGAGGCCTTTCCCCTTGTACCACATCCGAATTTGTTAAGTAAGGGAAAAGCTATAACATATGAGGACATTTTGAATATGAAAGGACAACTTAAAACCAAACAAGAATTGCTCCTACAGGGAATAGAACTGCATTGGTGTCCATGGAATCAAATACAATCCAGATTCAAAAAATATAAACACTTACAGGACTTTTATAAAGAACAGATTCGTTTTGATAAGATGTTATTCACAACAGAAGATAAGCTGATTAAAAAGATGTATAGTTTTTTTTTGGATATGAAAATGGAAAATGAGGAAATTAAAGAGACAATGACTAAATGGGCACAGAACTTTGGTTATAATATAGAATTAGACAAATGGCAGAAATTGTGGAAGAGAAATATAAAATTGATGGTTGCATCTACATATAAGGATAATCTGTATAAAATGTGTTATAGATGGTATTTATCTCCAGACAAATTAGCCAAAAGGTTTCCAAATATGTCCAATAAATGTTGGAAAGTTTTAATAAACAAGGTACATTTTATCATATGTGGTGGACATGCGACAGAGCTAAGGTATTTTAGATTAAAATACATAGTTGGCTTGAATTAATGCTATGTAAATGTATACCTTTTAAACCTGAAATTTTCCTGCTCGCCTGATACCTGATGATTTTGACAATCAGAGCTTATATTTAGCATTGCAATTCTACAGCAGCTAGAATTGTTTTTGCCCAATATTGGAAGAAAGAAGAAGTACTTATAGAGGATTCAATAATACTGGAGATATTGGACTGTGCAGAGATGGACAGATTGACATTAATAATGAACAATAGAGAAGAGTCAATGTATTATGAGACTTGGAATTTGTTCTATGAGTGGCTGGAAAGGAAGACATGGACTTAAAGTTTAGGATATCTATGCAATCTATGAAACTGTATAGAAGAATCTGATGCTTGACTAATTGATACGATGGTTTTTTGTTTGTTTTTTTAAATAAATAAAATCTTTTTTTTTAAAAAGAGGCTAAATAGGGCTTTTCTACTAGGACACAACTTTGAAATTAGTAAGTAAAACTTAACAAGTAAAGACTTGCTTTAGCAAAAGTTATGGTATCACTATATTGAGGCCCAAGAAGAGTCAGTGACACAGAGTGCTAGGACATTCCAGGAGCGACAGCATCCAATGCGCAGAAGAAAAATCTATCCTGCGCATGCTCTGTTTGAAGCATGTCTCAAGGAGATTTGAGTCTGTTTACCTAATCTGAGTCACAGTTCTCCAGGACTTAGCCCTCTTAAATTCTGCCCCTAATTGATGTTTCTACACAACTGGGCCTTGGTGCAAATAATTAAACCAGGGCAACATGCAACCTATGGGCCACTTGCAGCCCTTGCCCCCCTCATGTGCCCCTGAATCGCCACCCTCCAAAACTGGTAATTATAAAAAGACTGAAGCATGGTGCCTATAGTTATGTTAGTGCTCCATAGCACCAAATTAGATTGCGAACAAGAATGTTGACACCTTCAGCATTTCATAGATGCTATTGAAACCAGTTTTATCATTTATTTATCTATTTATGCTGTTGCATGTGAGAAGGGCCTGCAGCAGGAGGCAAAAATGTCTCCCAGTCCTCCTCATGTCGTGAGCGGAGCTGGCTGGTGCCGGAGGTCAGACTAGATGGTCCGGGAGACCCCTTCTGACTCACTCTGTTTCTATTTCTCTGTTTCTACAGTTGCCCATACCTTAAGTGCCTAAATTAATACATAAATAAATAAATACATTCTCACCATGACTGAATGGCAAATCCAGCAGCCTCTAATGGGCACGATGCTAATGGGTGACCTTTAAACAAATTCAATATATATTGTGGAGGACCAGAAAAACTGGGGAGAAAGAACTAGCTAGACAGAAACTAAAGTATGTGGAACAAAAAATGATGGAAGCAGCAGGAGATCATAGAAACTGAAAGCTGTGAATAGTGAAGTAAATTGTTCCTCAAAGAGAACCTGAAAGCATCTATAAGGAGGGGCAAAAGAACTCATTAGTAGAAGGAACAGGGAGTTCAGCTTCCTGCAAATGGCCAAACTCCAAAGTTGCTCCTTTGAGATCTATGACCTTATGGACTTGGGAGACTTACAGCCTGGCCCAAACTGAAAGGATGTACAATAAAAGTAACTATTTCACAAAGGACCGGAAAACATCACCATGTGCTGATTCTCCCTCATAATTTTCTCAGTGGTGAAGGTGTGGATCTTACTTTTAAGTGGCTTTTCCTATGGTCTGCAAAATATAGTTAAACGCATCTCAGGTTGTAGTTAAACATTATTCTAGCTATGATGAGATGCATTTACTTGAAATGTATCACACAAAAGAACAACACATGTATTTACTTGAAATGCATCACCACAAAATAACAACACATGCACACAAGCCTGCAAAGAAAAATCAGCCCATGACAACCTTTTCTTGAGGTTAACTTACCTAATGAAGGGAAACTGAACAGACCCCATCGAGCTCCACTGTCTCATATAATGCCTTATGAAGGACCCATCTCCCCAGCTTCTGCATTTTCTAGACCCTCTCAGTTGTCACTTTGACAAGCACATACATTAAAGGAGGGATACATCAAGGCTTTCTTACCTGATAAAAGTAACATGACTTTGCATCATGTCATTCCTCCCATAATCAATGCTACCCTTAAGTTAATCCACATTCCAATCTTCAGGGGACCATTGGTTGCTTCATAGGAGGTGGCCATTACCTGAGAGTGTCCCCCTCCTCTGCTAACAACTTCCTATGTCTCTCCAGTGCAGTGAGCTCCACAGCCAACTGTGCCTTTTCCTTAGCTATCTCTTCCTTCTCTTGTAGTACACGAAGCAAGGAGTCTGCTTGCATCTCCATTTCTTGATGGCTCTGGGCTAGTTGTTCACCTAAAGTTTGCTTCTGACTGTTCAGCTGGCAGAAACGGAGGAAAGTGAGGGACAGAGACAAATATTAGGAACTGAAGAGCCAGATTAGCAGCTGGAGCAGAACCACCCATTGAGGATTCTGGCTACATAAACCTGCAAACCATCCATTTGAAGGCTGTTGTCTGGCAGAGCCATGCCTCTTTCTGGCTCAGAGATCTCTAGGCAAGGATTCCAAAATAGCTTGGCTAAGTATATCAGCAAGCTGTGTTTTAGATGTGTTAGGAATGCAGATAAAAAGATTTCTTTTCTTGAAGAACTATTGGGGTTTCTTGTGGGACCCTTTATTAGAATAAAATAACAGTTCAAATGTAATGGTGTTAGAGCACATATTTGGCCTCAACTGTGACTACAGTAAAAGTGACACTTATTCATAATTACTGCATAAAGTTACGCCTTTCCTCCTCATCTTCTGTTTATCTACTGAGACAGATTGTATCTAAATGGTTCAATCAATCAATCAATCATCCATAGCCCAAAACAACTTTTGGGAAAGCTGGGCCTGATACATCCTTCCCTCCTTTACTTCTTTTTCTATTGCAACTGTTAAAAACCTCCAATCATCCAACTCACAGAGACCAAATAAAGGCAATATATCAGTGCTGGATTCTCTTAGTGAAAGGTATTGGGATAATTTCATGACAGCATTCAGGCTAAGCAACTGTGATGGCTCAATAGTGCCAGCAGGTCAAAACTTTGTGGCAGATGTTCAGCAGAATGAAGAAGCAGCCCCCAAACACCACAGGGCTGACTCAACACATTCTGAAGTAAGTAAATTAATACTCCTCACCATTTAAAGAAGGTACCTTCAATTGATCATAAAGTCCATGGTGTCACATTACCTAATTATACCCCTGTCTGTGCTGCAAAAGGGAAATCAACCAGAGTTGACCATAATGGACTACAAGGAATGGGCACAAGGCATCTTATATCTTCTTGTAACCATTTTCCTAGGGACAAGAGTAGGTGTGGGGCAAGTTGTAACTCTTCATGCATCAACTATATTCTAAATCCTGTTATTCGTTTTGAAGGTTGTAGCCAACCAATCTATGGCAGAGATGGCTGTGACTTTCCTGCACTTATATGAATGATGTCCTGCTGTGTATAACTATGCTTGCTTCTTACTGGTAGCACTACATAACAATACATCCAAGCATAAATCTGAAGTGGCTCCAGATTTTGTGCCAGCCACATACCCATCCCCGACTTAGCTACTCAGTATCATGAAAATTATAATCCAGGACTATGGTCTGAAGATATAGCTGGTTGTACATTGTCTTGAGTTATATATAAGATACATGGGATATACAGGCAAGAATAAAATAAATTAATAACTCTTTCCTGAGAATATTGTCTTTATTTTGTTCCATCCAACAAATTGCATGGCCAAGCATTACAACTTCTAGTGTGAGTCCTCTAACAGCAGCTTTGGATTCTCTTGCCAAAACTTGCCTTTTATTAAAAATGAGTTTCTAGGCCTCAAGTTTATGGAGAACTTCCTGAAAATATGCCAGTTTCATCTAAGAATTTAGAAGCCAGGTAGTATTTGAATTAGTTTTCCTATAGTTTTTTTTAGCTTCTATGAAACCTTGTGAAATAGCTCCCCATGGGCCCAACTGCTTGTCTTCCTATCTTCATGTGGATAATGTCTCCAAGTTTTCAAGAGATCAAACCTGCCATATTAAGACCTTAGCAAAAATGAGAAATGCAAAGTTAGGCATTCCTTCTTCCCATTGTTTTTTGTAACCAATATAAAACAGCAAATATGACCATGTATTTGTACTTTGCCAACTTTCACCTTTTGGCTGTAGAATGTAATATTTTTAGTAGTCTATCATGATTGGCTAGCCACCTTCCTGGAGAGAGCCAGCTAGAAACAGAATGCTGAACCAGAAGGACCCAACTGATACAGAAGAACATAAGATGACCAATGCTGGAGCCAACAAAGGGAACATCTAGTGCAACATTCTGCTCAAACAGTGACCAGTCTGTCATCTGTGGGAAGTGCACAAGCTGAACAGGAGTAAAACAATAGCCTCCTACTACTCATGTTATCCAGCAACTGGTGCACGCAGCTATCCTGACTTTGATAATGAACGATGTATGTAGTCATCATGGCTAGTAGCCATTGGTAGCTTTATCCTCCATGAGTTTTCTCATTCCTTGATAACCACTGGTGGTTTTCTTGTCACTATATCTTGTCACAGTGAATTCTACTATGCACTCTGTGAAGATGCACGTCTTTTATCTGTCCAATTGCTCTTAACAACCAGCTTCAGGGGATATCTTTGTACTATAAAAGAAGAGAACAATGTCTTCTTATGCATAATTTTGTACTTCTCTGGCATGCCTCCCATTATTCTTCCTATGTCTGGGCTAAACAGTTTCAGATATTTGTAGAAACCTTTCTGTATAAAGGAGTTGCTCCAGCCACTTGATCATTTTGCTAGCTCTTTCTGCAATTTATCTACTCTACAATATCCTTTTTAGGTGTGGTGGCCACAGCTATACAAGACGAGTCTTATTTATATTCCTACTATAGTCCACAGCGATAAAAGATTTTGCAGGCTTTGAAGTCGCCCTTTTCATACCTGCATTATTTGGTCCTGTAAATGAACCCTCTCCCTGCGCAGGAAGGCCATTTCCCCTTCCAGTCTCTCCTGCTTGTCTTCTGAGGCCTGGCAGCTCTCCTCCAGTCTGCACTTTTCTGCCTTCATGTGCATCAGCTCCTGCTCCGAGTGTGCAAGTTGCTCCCGTGAAACAGCTTGCTCTTGTTCCAGCTCCCGCTTCTGACTTAGCAGCCTACTTTTCTCATCTTCAAGCTGCACAGTAAAAGGAAATACTGGGGGTTACAGGTTCTATATGTCAGTGGGGTGGAGACAGTGGGGAGGAGATGGTCTGACAAGATGACAGAAAAGCAGATCAAACTTAGAATTATGCCACCAAAGTGAATTGTTCAGAGAAGTTTGGCTGAAAAGTGCTGAGGACACACCTTTCCACACAGATCTCCCCTGCCTTTGACCCTCTGTCTCAATATTTACTGAAATGTGAAATTGTTAGCATGGACTGGGCAAGTCCAAGACATCTTACTGCCTGAGGCAAAGGATAAGATAACAATAGAAAGCTGCCTTAAGTGAGTTGGACGTGGAATCTGATCTGATCTCATCATCTCGAACAGGAGTTTTGATACTGACTGGTAGCAACTCTTTGGGGTTTTAGGCAGGGTTGTTTTCTGTCCCCCACTTGGAGAGGCAGCGGACTGAACCTGGGACTTTCTGCATGCAAAGCATGTGCTTTACCACTGAGCTATGGCCCCTTCCCTACTTGCTGTACTGCCTGCATTTGACCAACAGAGGCCATCCAGGCTGGTGGTTGAAATTTACGGAAATGCTGACAATGGGACATCATACCAGAGGGAAGCAAACTAGTGTAGAAGCTGCCAGGTGGGCCAGGGTGCACATGCAGCTCTACTCCCCACCATCTCACCACTTTTCCTAGCATCTACTTCTGCTGCCTGAGGAAATTGCTTCATTACTGTTTCATAAAGTAATACAGCTTAGCTGCTTTCGGTTTTGCTTACAAGTATGCATGCAGGTAGGTAAGGGTAGTTTAAACCATCCTCCTCCAGTCACCTGTTTTCCTAATCTTGCACCCCTAGGGGCTAAAGAAAGAAAAACCTCTCCACCAGCACCAGAGTTCTCTTTTGCCGTATTTTTCTCCATTCCTGTAATTTTGTCGGGCAAAGGAGATGTGATGTTCTCTGCATGAATGCATAATTTTAAAAAAGTAAACATGTTACAGGAGGTGGGGAGAACAAAAGCAGGGGGATCATAAGTGTGTGTGTGTGAAAGAGGGAGAGGGAGAGGGAGAGGGAGAGAAGGGGGTATAGTTGGATTTATCAGAGGGCAGAAAGAGTTAATTCTTCATTTTTTGCTCCCAACCACTGTTTGCAGTGTGACTGCAGCAGCTTTTTCCATTTTTCAAATCATGCCACACATTAATTTCATTCATGCAATTAATATTAGTGCTACATTGATCCTAACCACCTATCATCAATACCCATTTTGTTTCCTTCCGTTAGGATCAAGAGACTGGTTTTGTTCAAATATTCCAGTGGACGTATTTAAATAATAGTTATCATAACATTTTCTTAAATTTCTCAGCAATATCACCTCAGTTTCTAATTAACTATCTTTTTCCATGGTGGAGCTTTAGTGTGATTCTGGGCTCTGGATTTCCTTATGTTTTCTTTTGCTTTACTTTCCTTGCTTGTAATAAATTAGTGGTTACAGAAGAAGTTTGCCGTTTGTTTTTTTCACTCAACCTAGCAAGTGCATCACTGACAGCATGATCTGTTAGCTTACAACAGCAAGACTTGGGTAAATTTTCCCATGTGCTGTGTAGGCAGCTTGCAAACTTCCATCAGGCAGCAATGCCAGGCCTGGAGTCTTCCGGACGTTATAAACACTGCTGGCATATGCTGTGGAGTGTGTGAGCACTGTGAGTTCCCCCCATTTCAGGCCTCACTGCAAGTTACAAGCTCTCAGCAGTTACAAGTCCTGCAGGGATGGTGCTCATGAGGCTGAAAGCTTTCTGGCACACCACGGGTTTAAAGAGGCTCAAGGAAAGTGTACATTTTGGCAGCCAGCAAAACCACTCTGTTTGCTCTAAGCAATGGACACTCAGGGACTGGCAGGAAAAGCCAGGAATCAGGACACAGTTTGCCAGCATATGGTCACCATAGTCCTAAAACACATTGAACAGAATCTTGGGAGTGCTGTAGCTAGACATTAGTTTCATCTTTGGCTGCTCCGAGGTAAAAGGGATGAATGGATTTACAATTTCGTAAAAGGTAGTGGTCCATGGGTGTGATTTGGATTCAAACCAGGACACTAGGTTTTTGTCCCCAGTTGGTGCCATCTGTCTTAATGGGGCAAACAGCAGCATTAGGGAGATATTTTCTTTGGTCAAATGGCATGAAAGAAAAAGGGTAACTTCTCTCCACCCACACTGTGGTCTCGATCCAAATTCTCAATCCAAATTCTCAAAAGCACAGCTGCTTTTCATAAAGAGAGGTGGGGGGAGATTCAATCAAAGATTGCATCCTTTTGTTTATTTTGGTCCTTATTCTGTCATGAGATGAAGGGCCAAAACAGACATTATTTTAAATTTGTATCTAGCAGCTACATAAAGTAGGCATAGGGAACCCTATCCAGATCTTAAAAGCCACCTTCCTCATGCTAGGTACAAATCAGTATTGGAGGCCCTGTGTCTACTCTAGAGTAAAAAATAATGGCAGTGATGTAACTGCTAGATACAGATTTTAAGAAATGTCTGTCTGGGCCCTAAGCTAAGGAGAAGACATTACAGCAATATTTCAGCATCATCAGTGGTTTCTTGTCCCCTGCTGAACACAATCTGAAGTGAAAGTTTTAACCTACAATGTCCTGAAAAGTGTGGGTCTGCTGTTTTCTGTGCAACCACCTTAAAGAGATCATTCCCATGGATCAAACTGGGCACCTCTCACTTGGCCACAATTAAAGGCATGCCAAATCTACTGCCTGAGGTCACTCCTTTAGCCAGTCCAATGGTAGGGTCCCTTCTGCCAAGAAGCTCACATACGCCACTCAACTGCACCCAGTTACACTCTCTGCTACAGTCTGGCTAGAGCAGGTCATCCCAGTGCCTTGTTACCTGCAGGATTATGCGGTTGAGGCTGACCTTGTCATGAGCCAGCCCTTCGTTCAGAGCTCCCATTTTGGCTAGTGAGTCTCTCAGCTCAGCATCTTCTAATTTCATCTTGTATATGGAGCGCTCAAGCTCAGCATTGGTGGCTTCAATCTAAAGGGAAATTGGGGACGTGTCCTCATTAGATTTTTCTGAAAGTGGGATCAAATCTTATCATTTTGGCTTTTCAGATAGTTGTTGGCTTTGAAGCAACTTTCTTTTAAATTAAAAGTGCTGGCAGAGAATTCACTCATATTCGATGTCTTCAAGTGCATTCTTGGCATGTTCTCCTTCCCTTCTGAGGTGTGGTAATGGTGAATGAGAAAAGATAACATCTCAAGCTTACCAGAGTCAAACATGAGGAGAAGATAACATGAAGATAAAAATATGCACACACTCCTTTTCTACAGTTTGGTTGATGATAGCAATAGTTAAAATAAGCCTTGAATCAGATTACACAGGCGAATGGTCAAGGATTGATTGTTATATTATTTTACTTTATTAGTTTAAGGATGACTACTTTTTCCATTTAATTTCAGCCAGCATCTACGCTTAACTAGAAACAAGAAAAAGGAGACTCTTTAGCACTCATGTGAGCAGTTGTGAACGTTTTTCCTTGTTATGATCAATTTTGTTATGCAATCAGGCAGTACGCTGTTAGAAGAAGGATTTCCCCCCTGCAATTTTGTCCTGGCCAAAGTGTGGGTGGCAAAATATCTGCTATTCACTTCAGCTGAGCCAATCTGAGCAACTTGGGCAGTTTTCACAGGAGAGTTTTACCAAAACTCTTACTCATCCGGGGCCTGCCCTAACACCCTATTGGATCATGGCCTTGGTGGGCATGTTATTTCCGAGAAAAGAGATTAAATTTAGAACACAGTTTACTGGTTTGAAATATCAAGCCCTGATGATGTGATGGCATGCAATGGCACCTCACCCACAGTTCTACTTTCTGCTTTTATTATTTACAAGTGTCTACAGCTGTTAGAAATGAAATTCTGGTTGTTCTTCTTGAACGTCAGGCAGCCTCAGACACTGTAACTCTGCCCACTCAGGCTAAATCTCAGGGATTCATATCCAGCACAAAAAATGCTGCTCAGCACTAACTGCCAGAGATGATAGTTGCAATTTTTATATTCTTTTTCCTCCCACCCTGAGACTAATAGGAGTCCAGGTATTAAACAAGTAGTCCATGGTATTGTTTTCAGAACAGAAAGGCAATACTATGCCTTTTGGGCTGACATGATTTTGCAATAAAGTGAACTCAGGGTGTTTTTCCAGAATATTTTGCTTCCAGTAGACTCAGTAAATCTAGAACCCAGGTCATTGTGAACTTATGATCTCAGATGAGCTTGTCAATTCTAGTTTTTCCTCACCACTCCCTCATACTAGAAGTGGAGAGTAAGTTGCTACCAGTAGCAAATCATCCTCATCATCAAGATCATATTTCCTTAAAGGTTATTTATTTATTTAAGGCTTTTATAACCCATTCTATAGCTCATGCTCTCAGAAGTATTCACAGTTATTTAGAGATGGCTTTTTCAGCTCTGCAGTAATATGCTGCCAACTCCAATCAATATCCTAGGTGCCACACTTTGAACAAGCTGAAGTTCCGGTCCCTTTTCAAAGGCAGCCCCATGTGGAATGTATTATAAGTGTCCCTGAGTGTATGCATTATCGTGGCCATATATGCTTTCTCCAGGAATGTACCTAGTTGGTACATCCATTTAAACTGAGCAAAGGCACACCTGCCTCTTGGCATCACCTGGGCACCAAGACCACTAAACTATGCACCCATGATTTCAAGGGTAGTACGAGTCCATTCAGCACTGGCTGAATTTCTGTCTCTTGATTCATTGTTCTACTGGCCAGGAGCTCTCTGCTTTGCCAGGATTGAGTACTGCTCATCCCACAAATTTCAGATATGCTTCTGCCCAATTCACATTAATCTAGGTACTCACATTCTTTCTCATCCAGTATTGCTATAGTTCTGCCTAGGGTCATTGCCTCTTGGGTTTTGCACCTATACCCAGTCCAGTCCTCCTTACAAGGCCACTTGGCTTAGCTTATGCCTATTTCTGCCCTTGATTCTGCAGTTCTATAAATTGTTCTTATACTTTTACCCAGTTCTTTAACTGACTGGAATTTGATGATATCCTCCATCAAATTGCATGAGTGGAGATCTCATCCATCTGATCAAGCAAGAACATGTCAGATTAAAAAAGACACTGTAGCTTTTATAATGCTAGGTAGAATTTTCTTCTCATGAAATGTTTTTCCAGAAAGGCTAACATTTTGCTCTCCAAGAAAAGCAAATGAGTGCTTTTTAAAACAGTTCTAAACAAAAGGTGAAAATATCCACAGAGTCAGGTCAACAGACAGGAGCAGAGCTCTTTGGCATGTAGGATCATGCCAATTAGCCATCCTTACTTTGGAAAGGGCTCCACTCAAGTCTTCCTTGGCACTCTCTAGCACGTCTTTTTCCAACATAGCCTGGTTCAAAGATTCCTTGACAGTCACCAGCTCTTTCTTCAGAGCTGACATCCTTTCCTCGAGCTGCTCCAGGGATCTTTGCCTGAATAGAAGAAAAGGTCTAAACTTTGCCTTGTACCTTAACCAACCAGCAGTGTGTTATTAGGAAAAGACTTTGGCACAGACATCTAGGGCCCCACTAAGCAGAAAGGGTCCCAAACACAGCCAGGTTGGCTTACCACATTTTGAGGTAAAGCACCTTGCCTTCTAAAAAGGAGTGCTGCAGTAAGACAAGTCCAGAGCCTTGCCACTGCCTGCTGATATTCCACAGTAACTAAACCCAAAATCAGCCATTTCCATCTAATTCCCCAAATTGAAGAATACGGCAAAATCTCATAATGCTTCATAGCGACAGTGCGGAACAGAGAAGCAGGACTGCCTTGCAGATCCTCACCCCCTTTCCAACTCCTTCCTTGTTCTCTCCCTTTCCTTAATCACATCCTCCTTCTGCTCCTCTAGGAGTTTTCGCTGTCTCTGAAGGTCTCCATTTGTAGTCTTCAACCACTCCACTTCCAGATGGGAGGAATCAAGCTGTTGAGTCAGCTTCTCCGCTGCCACCTCCAAAGCTCCCTTCTCCCTGAGGAGTGATTAGCAAGCAAAACATGAGCAACTTGGGACCACAGTAATGCAGCTGACAGACCTGTGCTGGTCAGGATGGAGATAGATATAGATTCTGCTTCCTATGCACACCTTTGCTTCTCTTTTGCAAAGCAGGGATGGATGACTCTGTATTGCCTTGAAGTAGAAAAGCAGCAGGTGGGAAGAAGGTGCTTACCTTTCTCCTAATTATCACTTTTTCTCCACAGCTTCTTGTCCTTGCTTCTTTTCCTTCCATCTCTAAGAGAAATACAGGCCTAGAAATGTGTAGTGGAGGAAAAGCAGCTGAAGGAGAGAAGTTGAGGGGGGAAGCAGTGAGCAAGAAAAGGGCTCAGGCAGCCTTCTATCCCCTGTCCTTTCCTGGCATTGCTCTGCAAGGGGGGTGGGGGTTGAACTTTCCATTCATACATCACCTTGCAACACAGGAGAAAGACATGCACTGCAGGCAGGACATGTTTTGTTCTGAATTATTCCAATGAGTATAATCTGAGGAAGGAAGAAGGGATGTGCAGTCTGAGGATGATTTCTAGACAGAGGAACGAGATGCGGGATGTCCACAGAGTATGGTGCCCAAGCAACAATTTATGAGAAAAGATTGGAATGGGAAAAAAATCTCCCATTTATTAACCCTAAGAGAAGCCCTTTTTAATAGCTCACTTGCCAAACCATGGCCATATTCAGACAGACAGACAATTTTTTTTCTGTTATCAGAAAGGTGTGAGCTTCAGGCAACCACCCTATTTTCCTTTGCAGAAAAAAATGCATGAACTACCATAACAATGTGTTCACCTTTACTTGGGAGCTACCTGAACCTGTTATGCACATCTGAGTAGAAAGAAGAATATACATATAAGATTCAGGGGTACCCCAGGAACAGACAAATCCAATATTTTTGTTATTCATACATCACCTTGCAACACAGGAGAAAGGCGCAGAGCATGTATGAGCCATGGTTCTCTCACCTCTGCTACCACACAGGGAAATTGAGAAGGGTTTGTCAGAACAGGGCTTGCACAAACTGTTGAATACCATTCCAAGACCATAGTTTCTATCTGGTTTGTTTTTGAATTGCCTGCTTCAATGTCTTTTTCATTAGAGCCACAGTTTGAAAGTTAATAGACTCACAGACAGAAAGGCCTTGAACATATAGTGCAAGATATATTTCAGCAACAGGAGATGGAATCACAGAAACAGAGCCGCAAGGTCAGCTATTCAAGTTGCAACTCTAAAAGCAAAACTATCATATACTGCAATCCAGATTCAAATGTGCTGTAATAGCAAAGCAAAAAATACATTCAGGTGATGAAAGGGAAAGAAGCAACTCTTTTACCCCACAAAAAAACTGCAAAAGGCAAAAAAAAAAAAAAAAAAAAAAAAAAACCACTAACAAGAAGCAGAAGTTTTAACCCAATTTTAACTTTACAGAAATTATTTTCCACCCCCCAAATGGTGACTGGTCAGACTCTTGATTATGATCAAACCTTATCCACCCCATTACCCTCAAAATAAAATTTTATTGGGTACTGCTCTATGCTGCACAACAACGTTCCTAGCATAAATTAATTACTCAGACACTATTATATGCATCCAAACTAAATAGGAGCACTGTAATACTGTTGGGGGCTAGTGCAGAGAGGCATTTGATAACCTTTGGCAGCAGTGAATGCTGATGCATGTTATTCCCAAGGCCATGTTTAATCATCACTTTAGTAATCATTTTTCATTTCCTTGGCTGACAATCACAATGGAAAGTGGTGTGGAGGAGTGAAATTGCATCATCAGAACAGAAGACCCCTTTTATATTAATATGGAAAAGTGGATTGTGCCATGTCCTTCATCTACCCACCAGCCAGGGCCAAACTGTATAATTAAAGTGGTGCCCCAGGGTAGACTGTCACCACCAGCAGCTATTACAGAGGCTGTGCAGAGAAGCCACAGTGAGGTGGAAGACAGGGCCATTCCACCAGCCCTGCTGAAAGACCGCCTCTGTGAAGGCTGCCTCTCTCTCTTGGGGTCACCATCAGCAGGCTGAGATGAGGAGGACAGAAGGGGACGCAGGTCCCTTCTGCTGGCACTGCTGAAAAACTATGTACATTTTTCATCTTCCCTGCCATCACTTTTTCTTTGTGTGTTGTGTCTTTTTAGATAATCATTTTGTAAACAGAGAATGCCTTGTTTTACAGCTTGTGTGGAAGCATCTCTGGAAGCCTTTCTGGCTGGCTAAAAATGCATCAACAAACAACTCAGGAAGTTGACGTATGCCAAATTGTATCATTACTCCATCTAACTAGGCATGCCTATACTAACTGACAGTAGCTCTCCAGCCCTACCTGAAGGTGTCAAGGGTTGTACTTTCCACAAGCAAAGCATGTGCACTACCACTGAATTATGCACCCTTCCTAGATGTGAAGGGATGTGCACCATGGGGAATGTTTGCATTTGCTGATACATCACTGCAGAAAGAGGTGTCTTCCTTTCTAACGTACATATTTGAAGGTTACAATCTGCATAGCCATCAAAAAAACTGAGACAGAGCCTTGCCACTTGTGAACATAGACCAATCTGGAGTCTCCCTCTTTCTCTCCACCGTCACCTTCCTAGATCCTCCACCGAGGATTTCCAGCGTTGCAGTTCCCGCTTGCAATCCTCCAGCATTTGGGTCAGCCCCTCACTTTTCTGCCTCTGTTCCTGCAGTCGTTGTTTTGCTTCCTTTGTTTCCTGCTGGCAATCAGAAAGCTGCTTCTTGACAGATCCCAAGGCATCCCGGCAAGTCTCCAGCTGCACATTCAACTCCTGTGCATAAAAAGAAGGATCAGGCAGAAGGCTCCCTCCATGTCACACAACAGAGTAGATGAAGGGGATCAGACAACAGATGAGCCAGGATGTTGTGATCACACCTCTACCCACCTTGAGAAATGGTCTGTATGGCAAGAGAAATTAGGTTTTGGAAAATAAACACTGAAGAGCACATGAAAGGGGCAGCCAGTTTCTTGTCTCCAATCATTTGGCCATACTGCCTTTCTGGTGGGATGTACCTGCTCGCACTGAAGGACGTATACATGATTAGAAGCAGCCGCAAAAGTCGTGGCAGCTGTTGCTCTGCCATGCAAAGACTAGGATCGGAGAGAGAAAACCTTCTTTAATCCTCTTTCAAGTGCTACAGGAGCTTAGGGGAAAAGACATCCTCCTAGCTATTTAGTAATCCCCTGTCTTTGGACATATTCCACATTTCCTCTGTTGGGTTCTAGCCATTCACAGGCTGTAATGAAGTACTGCAGACTAGTTACAAAAAAAGAATGTCTCATAAGAATGTGGTGACTAATTCTACAAATTACTACCATTTAACTAGAATACAGGGGTAGGCAACCTGGTACTCCCATAATTCCTGGCAGCTGGCAATACTGGTTGGAGTTTATCAGAGATGCTGTCCAAACCCTTGGAGGGCATTGGGGTTCCTCCTCCCAATTCAGAGGCATCAATGTACTCCCAGGTGTATGGAACACGGAAGACAGACAGGCACGGCACCATTGGCCTAGAATGTACATGAGACAGCGAAGACAGTTAAATGGAAGACCAAGAAGTCCTGTAGAAGAAGGGTAAGGAGGTAGAACTCCAGATGCTTTGGGCTTCAACTTCCAGAAGTCCCTGCCAGCACGGACAATGGTGAGGAATGCTAGGAGTTGGAAGTCTAAAACATCTTGAAATCTAATTTCTACCAACCTCTGTTGTTGGGCAATGTCTAGGAAAGGGAGGAACAAGTCTGAGGAGGGGAAGAAAAGAATATGCAAAGATGCCAAGGTAATCTACTCATGTAATTTTTTGTGACATGTCTGTGCTTCCTTTCCTTTGCCGAGTTAAAGGCAGTATCTCTGATTCTCTCCTTCTGCTGTTTGACCTAAGGTAGGTTAGGCTAAGAGATGGTTCAAACCAAATGGTTCAACTCAGTGAGCTTCATGGCTGGGAAGGGATTTGAACTAAGAGTCCTGCAGTCCGAGTGTGACACCTTAACCCAGTGCTCCCCATCTGGGTGACCTCCAGGTATGTTGGACTGCAATTCACATCTTACCCAGCCAGCATGGCCAATGGTCATGCTGGCTGGGTTTGATGGGAGCTGCAGACCAACATATTTGGAGGGCATCACGTTGGAGAAAGTCTCTCTAGCCACATTCCACAGTGACAAGTGTCTCAAAGAAGGGAAGGAACTGGATGTGTGGAACTTGATAGATGACAGCAAAATTCCTGCTGCAATAGGGGTTTTGAGGAAGGTCTTGGAGATCCGGACCAGGACACAGAGGTATGTCCCAGTACAAATCCACCCAATTCCAGCTCAAGTCTCCCTTTCTAAGGGACCCTGAAATTTGAGAGCCACCTGTCAAATGTGGTTTCTCTTGAACATAGGGGAAAGGGCTCATTTTTACACTTTTCTAAGCCTCTAGAGGATGTGGGGGGGACACACAAAAGTGGTTCTCCCATAGGGACTGAAGAGAGGAATGGTAAAAGCTGATGAGCTCACTGTGACTCTGACCTGAAGATTCCACAGACCAGCTTTTCCCATGTCAGCCAAATTCTGTGTATTTACTGAACAGTTTTCCATTTTTGAGAGAGGTACTTGCACTTACGTGCATTAGCAGAAGTGCACAGAAGTGCTGATGCACACATGTGCAAATGTGAACTAGTTGCTGGGCATTACTGCTGTTTTGCATTAAATAATCTGCAAGTATGCATTATCATTAATGCACATTAGTGCAAGTAAAACAACATTCTTGTAAAAAAAAATTCTGCTCCATCCATGAATAGATGCCAGAGTGACTGACACCTTATAGACAGATTTTGCAAAATCTCAACATCCCTTCAAAATTCACATAGGAGCTGCCCTGAGAAGTTCTTCTTGCAATACAGGTAAAGATAGTATAATCTTGTGACACACAGAGATTTATGTTTATAGAACTGATATCTGATGTTTCACAATGTTTACATGTAAACCTGGGCCATCCCAGACAAGTTATGTGTGTGTGGAAAACTCAGAAGCACACGAGTGATAGCAACCAGATAAATCTAATTGCCTGCATTTATTTATATATCTCCGAAAAGATAGCTATTTCCAAGCAGACACAAAATTTAACTGGAATGGACAGCATACATGTGTTACTATCAAGAGTCACTGAATTTTGGACATTTATTGTAACATATGTTAGGCTCTCCCTGCTTCCCTGAGCAGTAAAGAAGTCCAGATAATTTAGTTTCCTTTGAATGAGAGAGTATATTGGATACTTGTGGGGTTTAATTTACCAATATACTAGGGCCAAATGGCATCCATTTCCACTCCCACAGACATTCTTCCCCAACAAAGGTGAGGGGGAAGTGAATGTCACCACGCTTTTGGAAGGAGGGAGTGCTCACAGTTTTAAGAAGTGGTCCAGGACTGGTTCCTTCTTTTGTAGTATAAGTAGCTAAACAGCAATTCCAAGTGGAAGCTTAATTGCACATCACAGCCCAGGTGCAGAGTGCTTTTGCAAACAGGGCCAGATTACCCCTGGGATCAAAACTACATCATGGGAGCAGCCATCTTTTTACCCAGGAATGATGTGGTGACTTAGCCACTTTTACACTAAAAGAAAGAAACAAAAGGTTTGTTTTGTAAGTGTGTTCCCCACCTGAATGTTCACCATGCACTCCAAATGTCAGGAAGAGTTCTCACTTCCCAAGCCCCAAACTTCACCAAAACAGCTGGCTCAAACATTTTGGCCTAACACTGATATATACAAGGGCAGCATAGTCAACACAAATAAGGCAGGCTTCCCAAACCTGCCACACGATTTGGACGACAATACCCAGAATACCTGAGCATGTTGGCTGGGGCTACCAGGATTTGGTTGAGAACATTTGGAGGGTATCGAGCTGAAGAAGGCTGAAATAAGGCATCCCTACAGCAGGCAGCAAACACCTATGAGCTAGAATCCTATTCACACACCCCTAGGAGTAAGTCCTACTGAACTCAGTGAGATGCAGTGCTGAGTAGACTTGCACAGGATTGTGCTGCTAAGACCCCACAACCAGGTCCTGTGCCCTCAGCTGTTTCTTCTCCAGCCAATAAACAACACCTTCAACTCTAACATTGCAATCCGCACCCAAACGAACTGTAGCTACTAGTGTCCTCCTCAGAGTCAGATGCATGTCACATTCCAAACACCAGAGCAAAACCAAAGTAATAGACCCATTTACTGTAACCAAGACTGGCCAAACTATTAACCCCCAAAATAGACTGTTGTAGTACATAGAAAAGTTTGCAATGTTATACATATTTTAAAATAAGTATTAGCTACATGCACTGGATTGCTTTAGATCCTTATAGTTGTGGGCTGCTGTTCTTTCAGACATAAAACGGTATGCATGATGGGTTAAAATCAGATTATCCCACCTGTTCATGTTGGCGGTACTTCTGAAAAGCAGCCTGCACAGCTTGCAACGCTGCCTTCTGGCATGTGGGAGAGTGCACCCAGGATGGCGATGTCCACGGGTGGTGAGGAGAGCTGGAGCGTAACGGGGAGGTCTGCCAGATGGTGTCTTCCTCCGATGCAGCTTTGGCACTTTCTAAGGTGATGAACCCTGGGCTCCTGCATTCAGACAGAGCCAACTAGGAAGAGAGTAGTAAAGAAGTGAATCCTTGCCCAGCCAGCCGTGCTATTGTATTGTACACCAAGCTAGATGTATCAAAGCTCTGAAGTGGGGATTCCCACTTCACTTATTTTCAGACACCACTACCTTTCAAAAACCAGAATCTCATTTATATCTTATGGTTATATTTATTTTATTTTATGTTTTGTTTATTTTTCAATTTATATCCTGCCTTTTTCCTACAAAGGGCTCAAGGCAGCTTACATTTCCTCCTCCATCTTATCCTCACAACAACAACCCTGTGGGGTAGGTTGGGCTGAGAGTCTGTGAGTGGCCCAAAGTCACCCAGTTGGCTCCATGGCTGAGCGGGGACTAGGACCCAGATTGTCTGAGTCCCAGTCCAATGCTCTTAACCACTACACCACACTGGCTCTCTCTTATATAAGGATAGCACAGAATAGATGATAGTACCATTTGCAAATTTTGTTGCCATTTTCTTCTAGTATCTTAAAACGCCTGTTCTCTATGGTAAAGCTGCTACAATAACATTATAAAATGACAATCAGTCCCCTAAAGCTGCATTTAAGCAATTGGCTGCTTATTTTCACACATTGGCCTCCTGAAAGACACTTATTCAGCCTTGTTGGGATCTCAGATCAGCACTTCAGAGCCTTGTGTATTGCGTTCAAAAAGACAGCTGTTTGGATCCCAAATTTAGCTCAGCTGTAGCCTGTTCTTCTGTTGCCAAAGACATATTACTCAAATGGGAAAGCCCGTCAGTAAATAAAGAGAGGTGGGAGAAGTCTTAGTTAGTGTAAGCAATGGTGAAAGGTCATGGGAGTGGTAAGCTAAAACTTGAGGGCCACACATTTCCTATCTCTACTCTAAGAAAAAACTAATGCCTTCTCTTGACTTCAACAACTCACTGGGGGACAGAAGTGCAATAAAATACCTGTGAAGTCTGAGATATCAAAAATTAGGATCTTATTTATGAAGTGCCTAAAGGTACAGAATGTGTGCAATAGGGAAAGTTCCCCTCCCTCCCTTGATTTCAAGGAAGTAAAGCTCCTGCCCATACAAGAAAGGGGTGGGATGAAAAAGTTCTTTGGAAGGAAGTGCTGACATCTATATCACCTCAGGGTTCAATTTACATATTTATTTAGTTTTTAAAATCACTGTTAATTAGTTACAAAGTCTGTTTAAAATCTATGAACCAGCAAGCAAGCAGTACTGCAGACAAACCTCAAGTTCCTAGATACTATCACAACACTTTTTAGCACTGTCTAAATAGTTTATAATTAGATTATAATCTATTGCAGAGTCTACTGTGAATTATCCTGTTCAAACGCTGTGGTCTGCCCCCTTTTTACCAGACCACAGCTCCCATTCATCTCAGTGGGGCTTGTGTCAGAGAACTTCCTAGTGAACTATGTCTCAATTTCTATTAAAAACATAGGTGTCTACAGTTATTCCCTGCTGTCTTGCAATCATATCATTACTTGCCTGGATTATACTGTAGAACTATCTTCCCCAGTAGGAGGGGGCCTGGCTCAGTGGCAGAGTACATGCTTGGCATGCAGAAAGTCCCAGGTTCAATCCCCATCATCACCAGGTAAGGCTGGAAAAACTCCTGCCTGAAACCCTGGAGAGCCAGTGTCCATTCAAGCCACCAATTTTGGGATGACTAAGTATAAGGCAGCTTCTTGTGTTCCTTAAGAAGTGCCCTCCAGATATATTCAACAGCAACTCCCATTCTTCCAAGCCAACACTTCTGGAGGCTGCCAGGTTAGGAGAGACTGCTATAGAGGAAGATTTCACACACCTTTGTGATGCTGTTCAAGCTATGTTGCAAAGATTCAATTTCCTCTTTCAGGTCCTTTGTCTCTTCTAGATCTCCAGTCTTACTGGCCTCCTAGTGTTCAAAGATAAGCAGTTTCTCAGACACGGACATGGAGAAAGAGCAGAGAAAGTATGACAGGGCAAGCATGTGGACTGAGGCTGTGTATCGTTGTGAGAATCTGTATGTGTTGGTAAAAGTGTCTGTGTGTTTGAGAGAGTTACAGGAAGAGAGGTTTGTGGGTACGTGTACCAATTTCTGAATGTCCATTTTTAGGGTAGAGATGGTCTTCTCTTTCTTTGCATTCTGTTCTTTAAGCTTATCTCCTAAAGTGGTCAGCTCTGTAATCCTATAAGACACAAAAGATACATAGGTGGCGGATCAAAACGGCCAGTGCACACATCTTATTAAAAAGGCATAAAGCTGGAGACAGTCAGTGGAAGCAAAAGGGGATGCATGGGCATAATTTCTCATTCAGAGTGACTTGATACCTTTGTCTGCTTTGCTATACCATTTTTCATTGTGTGAGGACTTGCAGAGCTACAGCAGCCTTTCCCAGGCTGGCACCCCTTAGAATGTACTGGATTACAGCTCACAGAGTCCCTCTGACTGGTAGATTCTGGCATTAGAGTTCAATAGATCTGAACTGGCACCACCTTGGACTAGGTTTGAGTTAGAGAGATTGGAAGCAAAACAAGAAAAAAGTAGGGCCTCTAAGCCAGAGTTGGGGAACCTCTTTCATCCCAAGCGCCATTTCAATGTTGGATAAATTCTCTGGGGTCACATTCCACTGGTGAGCTGGGAAAAAGGCAAAATGGAGCAGAGGCCAAAGGCAAAAAAGTTTGGGCCAAAAAGTAAAAGTGTAAGAACCTCAACATATTGTGGCTTAAATATCTCACTGCTCATACATAAGCCTTAGGAGAGGTATTTCACACTTTTAGATCGGGGAAAATATCCACAAAGAGTAGTAATAGTTGGGTGTAAGGCGAAAGTGATGCGGACATTGGAGGAACCAGAGAGGACGACACTGGGATTCCTGGAGGGCCAGAATGCTGGGAGTTGTAGGGTTCTATTTCTCCTTAAATCTGCACAGAACCATGTCCTTAATCACCTGAGAACCAGAAACAGATTGGCACTCTTCTCACCTGGAGTTCAGTTCTGCCTTTTCTCCATCCCAGCGGCTCTGTAGCTGGATCATCTCGCGGACTTTTTCCCGAAGTTGTTTCTCTAGCAAACAGGCAGAGCTGCTTTCAGAGAGACGCAGGTTGGAATCCAAATTGAGGCAGGCAGTGTGGAGACGGTGAGCAACTCTTGCCATGTCAGTCCCTGCCTCAGCAATACCTCTGGAAATGAGGGAGTTAAAACTTTTCTCATTCAGGATCTACATGTTACCACCTCCTATCAATAATCATTGTGTATCCTACCACCTACAGTATTGCCATTAAGTTAGGGATACCAGAAACTGGCAAGAGTCCAAGTTATTACTCTCTTTCTTTTTCAATGTGTGCAAAACTAAAAGGATGCTACCTTTCATACCTAAAATATATTGTCTCCCTCTTGAATTTCCTACAGTCCTATCCAAAAGGATCCTGTTATTTCTCAGTTTTTTAATAGGAAAAAAATGGAAGCAAGAACACTTCTTTTAAAAATTCCCATCCACATAAATCAAGCTTCATTATTTTTTGGAAACCCCCCCCTGCTTTACTTTTAAACTGCCCAATAACTGCCAGTGTACAATAAATTAAGAATATAACATAGAAATACCAAAACAAAGAATAAAAACAGCACAGAATAAAACCATGCTAAACCCAGCAGCAAACAATATAACCATTCCAGCACACAAAACAAAATTAAAACCAGACTATTTATCTGGATTATGATATAAATACCCGTGTCATCTGATTTCACTGTCTATTTGCCACACAAACCCGTTCCATAATAAACCAGTATAAGTAACATGGTTATTAACTATGGTTATTAACTACTTCTGCTGGCCACCATCATTGAGTATCTCCATACAACTGTGGACAGCATAATGAATCGCCATTTTTCCATGTTATTTATCTTCCTACAAGCAGCCTGATGGCTATGAGAATCCTGTCCCATATAAGAACATCTCAGCTGGCACCGTGGTTATATTATATATACTGTAACGAAGGTAACATGACAAATTTAATGCTAGCTACTAAACTACTTGGGACGATTTTGCCATACCCATGAAATTGCACCTTTATTAAGGTAGGTGCCTAATGTTGGATGAAGTAGTGTTAATACCACTATGTTTGGGGTAATTGGGAGAGTGCACCAACTTACTTCTTGCTTCCTATTTAAGGTTGGGTTATGCTTCCCATGGGGTAGCATGACTATTCCCATGACTTTCCCATGAGACTATTACTTTCATGTTGTAAATAGTGTTGAAAAATGGATACATTGCATGCTTGTATGCCTATTCTTGTAAACACATGACAAAATAAATGTCCATGTGTTCTTCATGTGCAGCAATACACATACTACATTGATGTTACATTGGTATAGAAAAATTATCACTTGTGAAGCAGCTTTAGGGTTAGGATGATAGGAAGCTGCCTTGTACTGAGTCAGAATATGGGTCCATTGGCCCAGCTGCACTGGCATTGACCAACAGTGGTTCTGCAGGATTCTAGCCAGGAGTTTCTCTAGTCCCACCTGGAGATACCAGAGTTTGAACTTGGGGCCTTCCACTGGAAATCAGGTGCTGTACCTCTGGGCCACAGCCTGTCTAGCTACCCGACCATGATTATGGTGACAAACAAGTGGCAGACAAATGCAGGGATAAACTCTCCTTCAACCCCATTCCCTTCTCTGCAACCTTCTTCCATTGCTTTTCTATCAGATGGTTTCTGAAATCAGCTATTGTCTGAGGGAAAATAGTGAGTGGAGAAACCGTTCTGTGATTTTTTCCTGCCCGATATAACTCTGCTGGCAATGGCTGCCACCCCATCACTTTACAATTATTCAGAGTATTCCAAGACAGATGTTGCTATAACAAGAAATTCTTCCCATGATACTGTTTTGAAGACTCACAAGCCACTCTTGGGTCTATGTCACTGGGACCCCCTGAGTCTATGAACCTATTCCTTCAAGGACCCAGAACTCATTCTAATGGGTTCAGTGAAGCTTATCACCAAGCAAATAGGTATAGGAATACAGCTTCAACACTTTGCTTTTTCATGCAGGATTCCAATTTGCTATCAGACCCATGAAGTCTGGGACTACAAGACCCGCTCTGAATTGAGGTATCATATTCTTGTATTACCAGTTCACACAACAAGATTACCCATGTACATGACCATCAGCAAAGCATAATAGCCGAATTGCCAAGAGGATATTAAAAGCTCCTTGTGAACTGAAGAAGAACTTTGCTTCCAGCAAGGCCAGTCAAGTCAGGGCTTCCTGTGCATATCTGTGAGAGATGCCTTCAGACCACAGGATCACATTGTCCAGGTATCTTTCCTTTACCCAAGCTGATGACACCCATTCTTTCTTTTCAAACCACTCATGCTATGAAGAGATTGCTGCCAGTTCTTTAGTATATTCCTTTATCAGGTAATTTTCTATGGACCAGGGAGGATTCTTTTGTAGCACTGCTATGCCTGGGCAGCACCCACCTCTCCACCGTAGTGCGGAGCTCTGCAAAGTTGCCACGGAGTGCGGCAGCTTGACGCCATAACAGGAGGATCCCACTGTGCTCACTGCCTAAATATGAAGGGTAGCTCTGCAAAAGACAATGGCAAGAACATGGCAGGCAGGTTCTGGCAGTTCAACATGTTACTGATGGGGAGCTGTAGAAAGGGACCCTTCACTTTTGTAGCACTTACTGTTCTAAACCAATCTTTCAAATTTCTGTCCAAAATCGTATAGGAAAAGGACATAGGAAATACAATATTGGCATCCCTGGCACGTAGAGGGATTTTCAAGTGCACCTGAACTGGTTTTATAGATTTTCTTGTTTTGTAAGCTGCTACAAACTTTTGGAGAAGCAGAAGAGAAAGTGTTAAATAAGCAATTTGTAACTAGCCTGCTATTTCTACCACTGCACCATGCACAAAACTGCTAAACTAAAAATACAAATCAAGGAGATGCTCCAATGCTCCAGTGTTGCGACAAGGCTGACATCGAATCTGGCTGAGCAAATAAATGTTCTGAGCAAAAATTTGGCCGAAGTATATATGAGCTAATATTTTACCGTATAAATGAGTATATCTCAGTGCCTGTAAATCTGTACACATGGCTTACTGTTAACAACAACAACAACAATAATGGTGGGGTGGTGGTAGTAGCAGCTGCAGCAGATTACTAATTTTGCTGATTCGAATGGGAATTTAAGTTTTTCCACTGGATCCAGACCCCATCTCACAGAAGAGACTTTTCAAAATATTGGAAGAGTTCCACTAACACCTTGGTGGTCTCAGTTTCATAAAAGGCTAATTCAATTGCAGTTTTAACTAGGGTACTACTCAGCAGGTTACCAGTGTCTGGGTACACTAAAGTAGTGGCAAATTTGACATGGGAGATAGAAGTGTATCTGGGTTGAACCATGTAAAAAGAAAACGTTAACACCCTATATGAAATTTGAATGGGTAAGATCATTATTTTTGTTCCAAGAGCCAGAAATGGCTTCCTACTCAAAATAGATAGTATTCAGGGAGAAACTGGGGTGCATGTGTGGGGTAAGGGGGATGCCTATCAAACAGAACAGTACCGGAAGGGCTAGGGGAAATCTATATGTTAGAAACAGAAATATTCAAAGTTAGTGGTCCGAAACTCCTAAATTAATGAGTGAATGCCAAGCAAAAGCAGCCAAAAAGTACAACTGACCTGAGTGTAACAGCTTTCAGCTTTAGGTATTGATAAACTATGTTGACTCAACAAGAAAAAGGATAGATGGAGGCCAAGCATTACACATTTTGGTGCACAGTTTGTTTACAGCATGCATGGATTAAGAATGATCTTTTAAGTAAAAGAGTCAGAGTCAACATGCCATGGGAGTTTTACTGTGAGTGCTAGAAGTTTTCCATTTTTCCTTCTGGCCAGGAATATTGGCATGGCATTAACCTTCTCATAGCACAGATGACACTGAGATATTATCAGAAGTTTGGTTACTAGATGGTACAGAAATGTAATAAGGTATGAGAGGCATATTCTGACTGGAGAAAGAATAATGGGATTTGTCCATATGCAGTGGCTTCACTGCCATCAATTTAACTTGACCAAAAAAATATTTGAGCACAAAAATGGCAGGCATAATGCATTAAATACAATGGCTTCCTCACTGAGTATTGTAGTTAGAGAAGCAAAATAGCAGTAAGTGGCTAGTCCTTAAAATCCAAATTAAAAGGCTGAGTGAATATTAGAAGAGGCAAAGTTGCGATATAGCAGAATCATCGCACCCTACAGCATCCATGGGAGAAGGTATAATTGCTCCCATCTGCATTTCCTACCCTCTGTAAGAACTTTATTTTCTTCTGCCTGTTTTTTCACATAACCACCACAGATGTCAAATGAGCTATAGACACTCAGTCCACAGGATCCAGCCTCCTTCCTTCTATCAGAGGCTCTCTCTACCTTTGCCCTTTATATGTGCACATATACTTTGGATAAATCCTGAAAGTAATGAGTAGGATAGACTCCAGCACTAAACATTCAGGGCAAGGTGTTCTATGTACCTGTAGTCTAGGCTTGTAGAAATGAAAATAAGACAAATATGAGTTTTGCTGAATTGTGAATGAAGTTGTTAATCTAGGACAACACATTGAATTCACTAACCCTGTAAGGGAATGAACCTATGGCCCCTAGATATTATCCAAGAGGCCATGGGATAGATTAGATTCCCAGCTCCAAAAAGGATTAGATGTCCAACTCCCTCCCACATGTCCTTTCAGCCAGCCAGAAGGAATGGCTCCAGTTGCTTTCTAAGGTCAAGAAAGTCACTTTCACTGAAGGTTAGAAGGCAAGATTCCAGGGGCAGGGGCAGAGAAGCTAGGCGGCTAGGATCCAAGGCTTCCTAGGGCCTCTTTAGCCTCCTACCCCACGCTGAAGCGCTGTCTAGCCAAAATGCAGAGTGGGTGGAACTGGGGGGTAAAGATCACTCTGCTGCTCTTCCATTCTGCACTGGATGAACATGAGCTTCCATGTTTGGGGGTTTACACTCATTTGCACAGGACTTCCTCATAAGAAGCAAAATGCACCTAAAGGCACAATCTTAAATACGTTTAGACTGAAAAAAACATTCTATAATTCCCATGTTATGCTGGCTGAAGAATGCTGGGAGTTGTAGGACTCTTTTGCTATTGAAAATATAGATCACCCTCTGCAGACTTTTTGAACTTGAACTCTCATCAATTGTAGCCAGCATGGGCATGGACAGGAATGGTGGGAGCAGGAATTACCATTTTGAGGGAAGGCTATTGTAAATTAACTCTTTCAGATTTGGGCTGGGTACTCCTTCTGAGAAGAGGTACATATTCATGGGGAAAAACACTCTCTACATTTTTTTAAACCAGGGACTGTACATTCTGTGAACTGGAATAATCTATTAAAAATAACACCAGTCAAATATTAGCTGGATTTATACCTTAACCCCTTCCCTCCTCTGCCTTCCAATTCCAGATCTGCCTCACTACCCACCCCCACTGCTATTTCCTTGCAAGGAAGGCCCCAGATGGAACCAATAGGTTTGCAGCAGGAGGAGGAACATGGGCTCTGGCATTCCCCCAAGGACAAGGCCTGAGAAATAGTAATTTAATATTTAATTCTGACACAAGCTGGAAACTGCCTCTCAGCAGGTTTCAGTGGTACCAGAATGGCTGAGAGGGAACCAAATTCATTACTCTACTTGACTCTTTTCCAACTTGCAGCAGCAGGAAAGAAACAAAGGAAGCAGGAGTGAGTTTGGGGACTGGACCAGGCAATTGCTGCTCTAAAAATGTCTCTTCCTTTTCTCCCCTCCACCAAAATAAATAAATAAATAATACATAAATAAATAAATAAATAAATAAATCCTGTAGTTGAAAAGATGAGAAAGAGGGAAAAGATTTTTCATGTTGAGCTGAACCAGGGAGGGAACAGCAGATAAAGGAAGGATAGTTGACATTCATGGAATTCTCTGGTTCAGCAAGAGTGCAGACTCTGCGAGCAGCTGGGCCAGTTTGCATGCTGAGTTGAAGAAGGAACTGGTCTCTCTCGTTCTCACGCACACACAAAACTGCCTACTACCTTCTGCCATAGGGTGTGATATGATGGTGCAACACAGAACATATGGATCGCTAATCACAATGTTGCAAAGCATTTCAAAATCTCAGCAATACCTCCCTGCTCTTGTGCCTGTGGGACTCCTTCTGTTCCAGCTCACTCCTCAGCCTGTGAACATCAGCAGCTGCCTTCTCTAACTCCCCTGCTAGCCTCTGTTTCGAGGATTTCATCTGGTCCAGCTGTTCCCGAAGCAGAGTATTCATCTGGGAAAGGCTGGTGTTCCTAGGGCAAAAAACAAAAATCAGGCCAAGGACTCTGTTTTCCTCCACAACCATCGCAGGGCACAATAGTTCTATTATATTCAAGAACTCCTTTATGATTCATGACCATCTATCAACAATCTTAACAACAACTCCACTGGAACTTTCCCTCTGTTAGAGGAAACTCTTCCATCAGCCAAAACTGGCAAAGAGGTACAACCTTCTCCAGAAAAAATGTTTACAGAATACAACATATCCAAGGTTCTGAGATCATTCACAGTGGGCATTTCACCTGCCTGGACAGCACTGCTGACATACTGAGCAAAGCTCTAGGGCTGTCTGAATCAGTCATTCTAAATGTTTGGTCTAAAGATTGTATTGCAGGAAGTTGCTCCCTCTCTCCAGGTCACACCTTTCTTACTGATATTATTTTTTCTTCCCTGTACTGTTCCCCAATTACCAAGCTGATGGTGGGGATCTTGTGCAAGTTGGGGAAGAAAAATGCTTGGACACACATACCCTTTCTTTCTCTATTGAGTACCAAAGAAAGGTAAAAACTGTATCTATTACTTTGTCCACTTTTGACCATGTTGGGATTCTACTGAGGTAATGTGGACCTTGATAAGAAAATAAAACATGACTTAAATTTCTGCTGGTGTTTTTTTTTTTAATAATGCATTAGCTAAATGTTTTATAAATGACTTGTACCTTTGAGTTTGTGTTAATTAAAATGGTTATGGTATTAAGTGGTCTGTTAAAGCAACGATACAAAATATAATAGTTTCTTTGCCTATTTATGCACTTGACCTTGTAGAGGTACCCCTGCTGGTGCTGGTAACTCAAACATCCACTTCTTGCTTTGCCAAGTGAATAAACTAAGATTTCAGAAGAACATCAGGCCTCTGACTGAAGCCACTGATATGGGAATTTTATGTGGGAAAGATGTGCCTTTCACTGATATGCGAGGCCACAGAGAAGCATCAAAATCAAAGTTTAAGGTATCACATGATTAGGAAAAGAATACTTTGTCTTCTTGAAGTCTCAACAGGAGTACTTGCAATACAAGGAACTGAATATAGGCTTACCCCATCTAAATCACAGTTTCAGTTCTCACTTGTGATTTGCAATAAAAGACCATAGAAACCTTAATAACCATCAGATGAATGGGCAGTGAGTCTACTGGTACAAGCTATAATTACACACACAGTCTAACAGGTAGATCATTAATCTCTCCCTTTCCAATGCATTTGTGGCAATAATCACAATTTTAAGAAGCTACAAGACTAATCACAGTTTTATTGTGAAGTGGCCTGGGAACCATTTGGCTAATGGGCAGCAAATGGATATACCAAAAAGCATAAATAAATCAATGAAAACGAACAGTAACTGTACCTCTTCTGTTCCTCCCCCAGATGGAGGAGAGTGCTCTCCAGCTCCACACTGTGGTCATGCTCAAAGCGGCGTAAGCGCATCTCTGTTGAGTCTAACCTTGTCTGCAGCTAGAAAGAAGGAAAAATGGGAAACAGAGCAACAACAGGAGATAAGGTATAGAATCATATCATTCTTGTCCTCATTATTTATGTACCTTTTCCCACAAAGGTATCAAATTGGCGAATGTAAGATACAATGACATAGCAACAACACTAACTATTGCAATAAAAACAACACAACAATGGTAAACCTGCTATTTTCAGGTAGGAGTTGTGGATGATGTACAGTGACTATGAAAAATGTGGTATGTGTTTGTGAACTGCCTGGAAAACTTCTTCAAATGAACACAGTAATAAATACATTCTGCAAAATTCTGATAGCCAATTCTCTCTTGTGAAAGAGTCTCTGTGCTCTCAAAGCCTTTCATGAAATGAAGCACCCATCTGGTTGCCTGTGTGACCCATGCATTACAAAAAAGACTGGACATTCATAAAACCTGTGGGAGTCTTGAAATTATATGAACTGTACAAAGAGTATTTGTACCAGATATGTCATTAGGCCAGGCTGTTTGCCAAGCACTCACTCCAATTAAATGTGCATGGCATGATGGGACAGTGACATGCAAAGTGACCACAGCACTAAAAGTCAAACTGCCACATGCTTCATCATTATCATTTATAGAATGAAAAGGGTCATACAGACCATCTGTTTCTGATGCTCACACTCAGAAGTTTTCTCCAGCAATTGCTGCTCCAGTTCCCCACATCTTTTCTTGTACTGCAGCATCTAGGCGATAGAGTAGAAATGACAAGAGGAATGCATAAAGAGAACTGAGAGAGAAGGCAAGAAAGAACAAAGGAAGGAAGTGGAAGTCTGGGTAAGGATATTTACTGATGCAAAGGAGGTAGAAATCTGATGTATCAGGCAAATAGCAATAACTAAAGTCTGATCTATAAGGCCAATGGTAATTGCTCCATTGTTTAAAAGAAAAAACCAAACCAACCCATTCCTACAGAGAAATATGAAAAGCTCCTTGGATTGCTACCAATACTTTGATGGGGATCATGTGTGTGGTCAGTGCAATAAAATATAGACTAGGAGAGAAGCCAGACAAACAGAATGTGCAACATACATTCACATCTTAAATTATATCATGACATTCCCCTCAATATTAAAATTGCCAACCTATATTTCAATACCAGTCCCCACCTTTCTACAGGCAGTTTGTTGGACAATGCGTAAACAGAATGCTGGATTAGATAGGCCTTTGCACTGATTCAGCATGGCTCTTTTAATGCTGTTATGTGTTCTTTATCCGAAGCAGATTCCATGTTAAAGAATATACCAAGTTCAGATCCCACTGTTTGCGGGTGTTATCTAAAAGTTCAGAGATTTTCAGAAATGTTGCATTTGAGCCAAAGCTTTCTGTGCATTAGTAATAGCCAAGTCATTCCAGATCTGTAGACTGGCTGTTTGCACATGTAAAAGAGGAAATGGCAGGGGCGAAGGTGGGAAGTGTCCTTCTTATTTGGAATGCTCCGTGTACAACCCCCAGTCTCCTGTTCCCAACCCCAAAGTTCCAGGTAACATAATCACATAAACATTATCATGTTCATTTCTATGCAGCCCAATAACTGAAGCTCTCTGGGTGCTGTACAACAATTAATAAAATACCATATAAAATATGAATAACAGTAATAACCTCATAGAATTTCAGTACATAGATCGAAAAGCCACATGTTTCAACAATGTAAATAACTAAGACAGGTTAATACCTAGAGTGAAAAAGGAGGAAATCTAGTGGATACTATCAAGCCCCTGGTATGTGCCTGTAGCTGAAGGTATTTGGAGGCAGTGAGAGCAGCTAAGAAACAGTATCTGGCTGCCTCCATTCAGTTTTCTCTCTTCTGCCCAGCAAAGTTCTCTAGGATTGTCTGGAGCGACTATATGCTGGCCTACGGACACCTTGGAGTCATCTGAGATCTGCTGTAATATATTTGCTAGGTACCTCCAGGAAAAAAAAATCTATTGCATCTACCAGGACTTGGACTCCAATAGCAGTGGAAACAGATGAGATATCCGGAGCACAGCCTGGTCAAGTTTATTTGAATGAGTTCCAGTTAGTACAACTCAAAGGTATTGACAAGGTGCTTGGACAGGTTCATATAGCCATGTTTGTATTGGATTCTTGCCTGTCTTTGCTAGTAAAAGTTAGCAAGGAGGGAACTGCTAGTTGAGCCAGGAAGGTGATTAATGCTTTTTTACGAGAAAGAGTGGTCCCATGTCACCTCAAACAGGCAGTGGTGAGGCACTCCTGAAGAAACTCACTCTGAACCTAGAAGATTTCAATAATTTTAGGCTGGTGGCAAACATCCCTTTCTTGGGCAAAGTTCTTGTATGGGTGATTGTCAACCAGCTCCAGAAACTGATTATCTGCATTCATTTCAGAAGGGGTTCAGGTCTGATTCTGAAACAGAAACAGCTCTGGTCGTCCTGTATGATGACCTATGCTGGGGGAAGGACAGGGGGAGCATGACCCTGCTGGTACTCCTGGATATCTTGGTGGCTTTCAAGACCACTGACCATAGTATCCTTCTAGTATGACTGACAGGTTTGAGAGTGAGGAGCACTGCATTGCAGTGGTTCTGCTCCTGTCCTGCTTGGATGGATGGATGGCTCCAGAAGGTGGTGCTTGGAGAACATTGCTCTGCCCCTTGGACTCTCCAGTATAGAATTCCCCAGGGGTCACCTGGCCCCCCATGCTATTCAGCATCTACATGAAGCTACTTGAGTGGGGTCATTTGGAGTCTGGAGAGTGTCATCAGTATGCACATACTGATGACATGCAGCTCTATTTGTCCTTTTCATCTTTAGCAGGTGAGGTTGTGGATGTAGTAAACCAGTGCCTTGCTGTCACAATGGACTGGATGAGGGCTAAGAAACTGAAGCTCAGTCTTCACTACCACTTCATTAAGGTAGCATAGAACCACTTCCTCCCACAAGGAAGCGCTGTTCACCTCCCTGGCCCACATGATTGTTTCTTCCCTGGTAGCTTAGAAAAGCCAAAAGCAAGGACCCAGTATCGATATGGTTGCACGAGCCTGTCCAAGAATGCTGTTCGCATTCTCAAGTTACACCAGATGAAATTCACCCAAAAAACCTTGACCAGGTTTGGATACCTCAGCTGATTCAACAAATACTTAACAAATATATTACAGCACACCTCAAACAGGTCTAAGATGTACTTGGCAGCCCCTAATGACCCTAAAAAGCTCCACTGGACTGCAGAAAAAGACTAAATAGAGGCAGTGAGCTATTGCCTTTTTGTCACCCCCAAAGCCTTTAAATATACCTGGCTAGACACATACACTAGCACTATGCACTTGCACTGGGAGCTTTTCTCCATCTGCACTCAAGGCTTCCCTGTTTTGTCGCACCACCCACAGTTCTAGGGTGTTCTATGAAGTCATGTGAGTTTTACTGTAGAGAGGGTACTTGTGTCATTTGCTCAGGTCATCTCTGTATTCCAGAGAGGAACCAGGGATTTGGCACAACTGTATCATCCAGAAACCCCCATGGACCCCATGGAAACCATATGGTTTCATTAACCTTGGGGGCAAAGCATCTCAATAGGCCCCCTAGTGCTGCAGAGGAGAGAAGTCACCATCAGTCTAAACCTCAGCAGATAGTGGTCCGATCGTGACAAAGGAAATGATTCAAAGTACCCCACCTTCAGATCACTATTCCCATGGGAACACTGGGAAAAAACAGTGTTCTCTATTGCATGTGTTGGGCTGCTGACAAACTGGCAGTCCCATGAATGTCACAGAATCTATGAAATCCTGAGTCATCCCAGATAGGCTGCTACTACAGCATAAGAATTTGTCATCTCCCCCTGTAGACATCCTTAGCCTTCATTTCTTGATGGAAATTAAAACAACACAGGTGGTTGTTAGACTTTGCTTTCCTTTTATGTTGCTGGGACCCACTTAGGGCAGGAAAGGAGAACCTTCCCTCTTGCAGGGAGGCTGCCCATCTATGCCCCATTCCTATCTCCCAGGCAGTCTTTTATTTCAGATCAGCAGCTCCTTAGAAATAACAGGTTTGACAAAACCAGTAAGAAGTGCTTATAGTTAATCAGCTGCTGATCAGAGGTAGGAATATTCTCCAACTGATCCTTCACCCCGCATCATAACCTGCTACTGAAGACCCTGGTTTTCATCCCCATAAAATGCACTAGGTGAAGGGATTTAAGCCTCCCTACCTGACATGTGACAATGCTGAAGAAAATGGAGTTTTTCTGCCTGGATCAGTTGAACAGAGGGTTGTGAAGTCTGTACATGTGCATATGTGCATGAGAGGGAATGTTCTCTGCATGTGTGTCTATGAATGGGGTGTGCCTGTCTGGGTGAATGCTGGTGAGTGGAGTGATCAAAGCCCCCACTGTAGGCACCATAGTTCAGTTCTTAGGGCAATCTTCTCCAACTTTGTGCACTCCAAATGTGTTGGACTACAATTCCCCCAGACTTGCTGGATGGGGGATTCTGGGAACTGTAGTCTAAAACACCTGGAGGGTACCAGATCAGGGAAGACTTCCTTGTGGAAACCTTTCAGGAAACCTGGCCATAGCATTACCACCCACCTTGTTCTGCATCTTCTGTACTAGCTGAGCCTGGTGCTGCTGCCCATCCTGGAAGGCTTGCAGCTTGCGCTTGTATGCTTTCTCATCTTCCTTGAACTGCTGTCTCAGCTGCAGGAACATTGTGCTTCCTTCCTCATCAACTCGCACTGCTTGTTCCAGCTACAAAAGCAAAGTGAACTTCCCTAATCCATATGGCAAAAGCAAGGGTCAGGAGGGGAACGGCAAGTAAATGAGGACTGGCTTACAAGTATAGTATGTTAGGAAATAACCCTCTCTAAGAATGAAAATACTGGCCTTTAAAAGTGAATTACAGCTCCACTGAGCTGTAAAGTGTTCAACGGGGCTTTTGGCTGCTTTTTCATGCTTGGGCAAGAAAACTAACATTTCTCTAAATCTCAAACACAATCTACATGCATAGCAAATTTGGTAAATGTAACAGAATTCATACAAATATACATATTTTATATAATTCTTTTCCTTCAGATTTGTAAGCTCCTCTGAAATGCACAGAATTTTAGAATGAATAACATCTCAAATTTTAGAGAATGAGGGGTTAAACTGTGAAAGAGGATTATGGACAAGTGTATTTAGTCTTTGATCCTAAATACACTTATTAGGGAGTTAGCCCTTTTGGACACACTGAGACTTATATCTAAGCAAGCATGCAGGGACTGATCAAATAGTGCCCTTGATACTATATGTCAGGGTGTTTCAGGCAACTGATATACAAGAGAGGGGCCCTTTTGGTAATGGCACCATGATTACGGAACACCTTGCCTTTTAGAAAGGCTCAACCACTTTATTCCACCAGAATATAACATATCTATGTTATACTTATTCTGGCACTAGGGAAGATTTTTAAAAAATGTTACTAGGCATTATAAAAATTAACTTTTCTTGTTGCTGATTTTGATTTAATTTTGTCTAATTAAAACATCAAAACAAACAATTGAAATAAAGTATAAGCTCTACTCCCCACCTCAAAGAAGCAAGAGGTCCATCTACTCTGGACTGTGGGATGCATGTCATCTAGTACCTGAATCATGGTCCCTTTTCTTTTGTGCATGTAAACCTGACTTACTTATTCTAATACTGGATTCTTGGGCAAGGTGCTGAATCAGGTAGCTCCTCAGTTGCAGGGGTTTCTAGTTGAGGATTATCTATGTCATTGTGTCTTTAGGCCTCATTATGGGACAGAGACTGTTGAGCTTGATTTGTTCTATGCCAAGATCTGGACACAGAAGTGCCCCTGTTGATTTTGCTGGAGCTTTCAGTGGTTTGATGGCATTTGATTCTGGTATCTTTCCGAGGCATCTGTTTGAGGTGGGACTGGGAGGCACCATAACACAGTATTCCCATTTTTCTTGGAGGGACTATTTTAAAAGATGGCATTGGGGGATTCCTGTTTGATATAATAGCCACTGGCCTGGGACTTTTCTCAAGTTCTATCTTATCCCCTGTGCTTTTTAACATATACATGAAACTGCTAGGAGAGACTGCTTGAAATTTTGAGACCCAGTGCCACCAGTATGTTGATGACACCCAACTCTATTTTCCTTTCCAACTAAATCCAAGGAAGCTAACTGTAAGTCAGTGTCTCATGATGCTAATAGACTGTATGAAGGCACACAAATTGAAGCTTAATCCAGATGAGACAAAAGTACTTTTGGACAGTTGGAATCAAGTTATAGAGGAGCAAGGAAAAAGGATTCAACCTGTGCTGGATGAGGTTACTCTCTCCTGAAACTCAGTCTTACACTCTGGGTTATTTATTTTATTTAAACAACTTATATGCCGCCCCATCGCATGAGCTTTGGGGCGGATTACAATCATAAAATCCCGCATAAAATACAAAAAAAAAATCATCAAATAAATAAAATACATAAAATAGCGGACACAGCCTGGTCAATTTAAAATCAACAAATAAACCATTAACAGTTAAAATAGCATTTAAATAAAAAGGTCTTGGCCTGACGCCAAAAAAACAAATAAGGACAGCGCCAGACGGACCTCACTGGGGAGTGCATTCCATAGGTTGGGCGCCACCGCAGAGAAAGCCCTCCTCCGAGTACTCACCCTCCTAATATCCTTTACGGAGGGTTCCTGGGGAAGGGCCTCTGCCGCCAATCTCAGGGGGCGGGAGGGCATATATGGACGCAGGCGCTCCTTTAGGTAACCAGGGCCTAAGCTGTTCAGGGCTTTGTAGGTGATAACCAGCACCCTGAATTGGGCCCGGACTTCAATGGGGAGCCAGTGGAGCTGACAGAGGACTGGAGTTATATGAGAACAACGCCCAGTCCCTGTCAGCAGCCTGGCAGCTCTATTTTGCACCAATTGAAGTATCTGGACCATCTTCAAGGGCAGCCCCACATAGAGCGCATTGCAGAAGTCTAATCAGGAAGTGACCAATGCATGCGTCACTGTTGCCAGGCAGTTGTTCTTCAGGTAGGGATGCAGCTGATGAATCAGCCGAAGCTGAAGGAAAGCGCTCCTCGCCACTGCTGTCACTTGAGCTTCCAATGATAGCTCTGGGTCGAGGAGCACTCCCAAGCTGCAGACCCTGTCCTTAAGAGGGAGTGCAACCCCATTCAGGACAAGGTCAAAGTCCCCCATCCCAAAGCCCGATCCACCTACTAACAGGACCTCTGTCTTGTCTGGATTGAGCTTCAGTTTATTGGCCCTCATCCAGCCCATTACCTCGCCAAGGCACCGGTTCAGTACAGCCACTGCCTCACTTGGATTGGTGAAAAACGAGAGGTAGAGCTGGGTATCATCAGCATACTGATGATTCCACAGCCCACACCTCCTGATGACCTCTCTCAGCAGTTTCATGTAGATGTAAAATAGCATGGGGGACAAGATGGAACCCTGCAGAACTCCATGGCATAGCTGCCATGGCGCAGAGCCATAGTCCCCCAGCACCACCTTCTGGAATCAGCCATTGAGATAGGCCATTTATGAGATAGTTTATGTCTGGGCTCGGCCTTGAAATGGGATACCTGGTTTCAGAGGCAGCCAGAAGTGCATTTACGCAGCTGAGACTAGTGTACCAAGTGTGCCTGTTCCCAGAGATGTGGTTCAGCCAAGGTCACTCATGCCTTAATAGTTCCATTTGGACTACTATAATGTGCCAGCATGGATCTGCCTTTGAAAACTATTCAGAAAATTCCCAAACACTGCAGCCAATGTCTAGGCAGAAAGCATTCAACTCCCCTATTATAATAGCTTCATGAGCTAGTGTCTGTTTCTGGAACCAGTACTTGATGATGGTGGTGGTTTCTCTATGCTGGTTATGATCTATAAAGTCTTGGGACCAGGTTAGCTGAAAGACTAACTCTTCTTCTATGAGCCCCCCACCCCCACCCAGTTCTTAAGATCTTAAGAGGACATTCTTCTGGGAATGTCACCTTCAGAAGTGTATTTGGTTGTAATGCTTCTGAAGATCTTCTCAGTGGTGGCTCTCTGTGGAAATCCCTGTTGAGACTAGGTTTGTTTGCTCTTAAACACCAAAGGTCCTCTTAAATGAAATGGAAGGGTATCTGTTGAGGTGGATGTGTTTTCACACAGTTGTTGTGTTTTCATTATCTCTTATTGTTTTGTGTTTTAATATAAGTAAAATAAATAAAAACCTTGTAAGCTATTCAGGCAGCCCTTTTCACTCGAGGAACAGGGTCAACATGCTTAGACGAACAGATAGGAATATACTACATCAGCTCTGATACGTTTCATAATTTGGTAACACAGAGTCCCCAAGAAAGCCAAAGACACCTAATGGGACTCAAATCTAGTGCCTCTTCCCACCTAAGAAATTATTAGGCCATTTTTATTCACTGTAGTCATCACTGGAGGTTAAGGCCCTGCTCTGTGTCCCACCATCATGTGCAACTGTGGAACTCTCTGGCCTGGGAGACTCAGCTGACTTCTGCTTTTAGACAACAGATCAACACAGCACTACTTAGAAGGCACTAACCTAATGCACATGACCTCTATAGGCAACTATAATAATTCATATTTTGTCTAGATTTGTTTCTTGTTTTTAAGCTTCTGTTATCCTTTTTACTGGAGTTTGTTTTTACATAGTCACTATCCACCTCAAGTGTCCCATTAGGGATGAAAAAAGCAGAGTATAGTTATTTAAAACAAATGTTCACTGTTTTCACCCCACAAAGAGGGCTTCCTTTTGTGCTCAATTTTACCAGTTCAGTAATAAAAAAGTGACTCTGACCACATGTAAGGTACCTTTCCCTTATCACTGAACAAAAGCTCGTCTTTACACACCTAGGATTAGGGAGCAAGGTTTTCAAGGATGATGATTGGATTCAGGCTCAGCATTTTTTTTTAAATAAATGTCATACTGTTTAAAAGACCACTTTTCTCAGTAATTTGTCTCTAAAGCAGGGGTCCAGAACTTCAGACCCTGGGGCCAAATCCTTCTGTCTGGGGGGCCAAATTGGCTCTCCAAGATACCCCTAGCCATTTCCCCTGGCCCTGTCTTCTTCCCCTCAACCAGTGATCATTTGTGGTTTCCTGGCTTTTCTGCAGTTTCCCATATTCTAAAGGGTGAAATGTCTCTCCTAAGGCTCAGTTACCAGCAACAAGCGCTTTAAAGCTAAAATAGCCTTCTATTTTTGGCTCCTCCCCTTTGGCCTTCTGTCCCATCAACCACTGGAATGAAGCCCCCAAGGACTTCTCCAAAAGGGAATTCATTCTGCAGACTGAAAGAAGTTCACCCGTCCTGCTCCAATCTGTGGTTTCTAGGCACAAAACCACAACTAGGACAGGATAAAAATATGTCTACTCCAGTTAAGAATGAGGTGTCCTGCACCAACATCAGAAAGAGGAAATGCATACATGAATCAAGATCTCTGTTCTACTTTCCCAACAGCATTCTTTCTATTACTCCTGTTCAGCAACAGTCAACAGCTGGTACAGGCAGCAGTTTCGGACTGCTGCTGGAATATCTTTGGGAAGGGCTTGGTGCTGAGTCAGACCTGGGTCTTCATGCCTGTCATGAGGAACTGGAGTCAGGGATTGTTTGGAATTAACATTATTTATGCTCCTCTGGATGGGAACTTTTGTCGGGCCAAGAATGTGCCCTTGCCATGCTCTCCAGGCAGCAAACCAAGCATCCCTCCCTCCTGGGGAACATGGGAGGGATATCGTTAAGCACCATGGCCAGCTGCAACCAAAGGTTCCAGAAGGGAGCAGTGTGTGAAAAAGGGACCAACATCCTGTCAACTCTCACACGCCTGAGGAAATATCAATGGGCTATGTTTGCACACTATAATCTCTCTCCATTTGCACATCAGAATGTGATTCCTGGCAGTTCCACTTCAAAGGCTCATTGCTGCAGCAGAATGTTAGATGGCTGGTTGGATTTAAAAGCCATCTGCTTTGCCATTCTATTTCTGAGGCTTGCTTTTCACAAATAAAAATTCTTTTAAAAAGTACTATTCGTATTCTTTCAGTGATCTCACATTGACCCACATTAGGCCTATTAAATATTAACATTTTGCTCTTAACAACATGCTTACCCACTCTAGCGTGGGAAACACACTCCCAGTCAAGTGCCCAAATGTAATCTCCCAAGACAAAGCTGATGATTGGCAGCAGCTAATATACATCTCTTAAGGCCACATTTATTCTCAAGAACAGGGAAAACTTGTGCCCAGTCGAGTATTCAAATGGAAGGGTCACTTTATGAGGATTAACTGCACACAATAAAATGGCTAAAGCCAATATTATATCCATGAATGCAAACTATTTTGAAAATAATTATCTGGGAGACAAAAAGAGATTTCTTAGAAAGCAATCAGATGGGTATGTGATGCAGGGCCCTAAGCACAGAGCCTTCTGCCTATCCAAAGCACTTTCAGGCTTTTGTTGGCAGGGCGAGCAACTGAGGCTTGTTCCATCTCCAGTTTGAGCCAATTAATCCACTCTCTTTACCAGTGACAGGGGCTAAGAGGCTGTTGGATCCAATGGATCCAAGGCCTCTCCCCTCCCTGTCCAATGGCTTGTCCCCACCTCACTTATTTCTTCCCTTCCTGAAGTTGGGATACTCTTGAAGTTTCTTTCCATGGCAGCTAGAAGTTGAGGTATCCATCCTCAGTTAGGGACACCCACTGTACTCTATGGCCCCTCAGAAGCTGTGTAGGAGTATAAGATTACTCTCCTACCATCAGTTCTGAATGCATTTCAAATTAAACTTCTTAGAGCGGGCAGGTTTGATGATACTTTCACACCCAGGGTGGCTCCAAGGCTTAAAGTTGCTTCAAGTTGCCAGGGGGACCCTGCTGTGCCCAACTAATGATTGAGTACAGTGGCAGGCCTCAGGCACCTCTTCAGTCCTCCTGCAGAGAACACCAAAGGAGCACTGAAGAGAATGTCAGTGTACGTTCATGTTAATTCAGTATTATGCCTTCCAGCCTCACTCCCTGTGCATTGCCAATCATGATGTCCTTAGCTGCCCATCAACACCAGCTGCAAGAAAGCATGGTGGGTAATCCATTTGACATGGAGATTTCCACTACATGCATGTGTTCAGAAGAGAAAGGCATTGCCCAGGATTTGTTCCATAGAATGATGGATTTCCAAATCTCTTCTTACTCTCTCACTAATGGCATGGTACTTGCTAGCCAGCTCATCCTTCTCTGCCCGGGTTTGTGCCAAGAGGTCCTCAAGGCGAGAGAGTTCCTTCTGCAACAAGCGGTTTTCTTCCTGCATACTGACTGAAGTGATTGTTTCTGATAGACCTGGAAACAGAAATAAAAGGAGTGCTTAGATGCAAACCAGGCACACTTAAACTGAAGGCATGGAAATGACTCTGAATGTGCACACTACATGCAGTTGCTTGGCAGAGCAACTTGAATTTTAGGACTGAATAGGACTCAAAATACCAGTGTGTCACTTGTCAAAATGGATGTACTGTTGCTCAGAACTGGGTGTAAGTAAGCATTTGACTCAAGAGTCGTGGTTCCTGGTTTAGGATGTAGGGCCTGGTCACAACTCATTGATGAAAGAAAGGGCCCTTGCATATTAACAGTAGCACTCTGCCCTTCAATAAGCTCCCAGGTTTCAGGAAGGATTCTGTCACTTAACATGAAACATGTGAAGAACAGACGGTGGGGTCTGACATTAAGAAGGGACTGATTTATAGTGGGTATTGAACCTCGGGCCCATGGGCCAAATTTGGCAATTTGGAGTTCTTCAATTGGCCACGTCTGCTTTCCTCCAACTGATGATTGATTGGTAGTTTCCCATCTTTGTACCATTTCCCCACATAGTTCCCCCAAGAGCATTAAGCTGAAACAGGCCCCTTTTGTTGTCAGTTCCCAGTCCATTGGACTCCAAGGTCTTCAAAATGGAATTTGGCCCTTGGACTGAAAAAGGTTCAAGTTCTTGACTTATGATAGCTGAAGTTAAATTATTTAATTTCCTATATTTCTGCAGGGGATGGGGAAGCATTTTCTTTGATTGGCATTTTAATATGAAATAACCTAATATGCACTTCTCAAATTAATACATGAACGAAAAAACAATTTTGGGAATGGAATGAGCAGTGAAACAGGTAAGTCCATTCATTCCTAATTTCTTTGCAACAAGACAGAAGCATAGCTCATTCTTTTCTCTCAGTGTTGGCTTCCCATATGATGGCTCATGAGATATCAGGCAGGCCGTTCATGTGTAAAGCCACAGAAGTTACTGTGATTAAAAAGTAGAGAAAAAGCCTCTCTGTGATCTTCACTAGTTTTATCTCTTTGTTGTGTTATGACAGATAATAAGCAGATACCTAGATTATCAGAGAAAGAGGATGAAGGTAATTTGTATTACTTGCAGCATATGAAGAACCTCTTTTTGAAAAGATAAAGAGAATGAAATATACCAGGCCATAAACTGAAGACCGCATTTGGATCTTCTACACAAGGATTACAGAGCAGAGCAGAGCACTTCAATAGAATTCCTTTTCGAATTTTTTCTACTTTTCAAGAAAGCATTTTCCATTAAAAGTTTAGTGTTTTAGTCTAGCAAAGCAGAGTAATATTGTCACTCAAAGTGACAGGAGCCCATCTAGGTTGATTCAAACACTTCTTTGGACTTAGAACCCCTGTTCTCTTTTTCTTTCCAGTCATAGGCAGAGAAACATTTGACCCATTTGCCAAGAGCAGCTGTTGCTAATATTCCATGGCACTCTGAATTACCCTTTTTACCATGGGCTGGAAGGAAAAAATGTGCTACCACATACCTGGTGATAGTGACTAAATTTACTGACAAGTTCTTCCAAGAAAGATGGTCTTCAGGGCCACTATGAAGCCAACCCTGCATGCCATGTGGGGAACTGTAGGGGTTTCAAAATGATCCTCCCTGTTTCCAGGGATGTACTTGCAAGTGCTTTATGCTTCCACCCAGTACCTTGGGGTGATGGTGGAGACAAACTCTGTGTGATAATCTGTCGAATCCTAGCTGGGACTGTTGTGGGTACAGCTCTCTCTCCTTCACCACGCACAGTCAACACTTTGTCATCTTTGCTTGCTTTGGGATGCAGCACAGTATCCTCTAGTTTCTGAAATAAAGACAAAAGTCAAACTCTGGCAGAAAAGCTTGCTGAGCTTTATTTAGCCACTGATGAGCCCAGAGGGACAAATATTTCTATGCGCTGGTTGAGCTCCATTCACAAAGAGGCCGCAAGGCAAGGTCACACCACTGTCTCCCAAATGTCTCATGGTTCCCTGCTTTCTCCCAATGTCCATGCATGGGGCATAAACCATTGAGAAGGGGAAAGCTCTACATGTGTAGGTTTTCAAAGGAAGTAGAACCCTGCGTGATCAGTCTTTCAGCAGTCAGAGTTCTGCACATGTTCTTCCCTCTTAGATGCCCAGACTCTACCCTCTTAGCTGGGTTTGAAGAGTTATGTCACTTTGGGATGGGGTCAGTGGTGGGACTTTGCTGCCCCTTTAATTGCACTGCGAGGGATCTACTGTCAACTTAATCCGTTGAAGAGTTTGGTGTTCCTAAACCCATTGAAATGAATAGGATTTGGCACACTTGACTAGCCATAGGAACAAAGCTCTTTGGCTCAACTGACATAAGAGTATACAAAATACAGTTGTCATAACTATTACAATTTTTAAAAAGTTGACTAAACCAGATAACAACTGGGCTCGTATGACATCCTAAGTCTCAAGGATGGAGGGGGGACGCTTAGTGTGGCATCTGAACCCACTTACCTCCTGTGGCTTGTTACTGGGTTTGGGAAATCCACTGAAGCTTCATGTATGCTTTCAACCTGGTCAACAAGACAGGCAAGAGGCTACAAACACTTTGGACAGAGCCCTTTGCTCACAAGCAATCTTGTTCTCCTGGCATCAGCAGAGGTATGGAGTGGGGAAGTGGATGACAACCATTGAAAGTGTCCATGTTTGCCCACTGTGTTTCCTCAGTGTTCCTGAGGTGATGCCTGGGATACCAGCAGAAGGACTGATAGGGGAAAAGATGCCTCAAGACCTCCACTGTGCTCCATCTCTGGGCAGGCACAGCAGTCCAAACCCACCTGGTGTGCTCTAAGACCAATCACTGTGAAGTCCCACCATGCTACATAACAAAAATAAATGAAGCACCTTCATCAGCATGGAACACAATGTAATATTTCAGAATTGCTGCACACAAGAATATGAGCTTGTGGCGGCATTTGGAATATTTTGTGGTATATAGCATACTATTAGAATCTTTTCATGCAAGAATATTCAAAACTGAAAAGTGCAATTAAAACCAGTGGAAGGTAGTTTTATACCAATGATAAATCCACCTTTTGGACATTTAATTGGAAGCATTTTCAGGAGTTATCATCACAAATAAATACTTACATTCCAATGGCATAAGAGACTCCAGAACACTGTTCTGAAGTAATATCACTTTAAAGTCATACTACTGGAAAGGGTAATTTATGAGGTCACTATTGCTCATCATATGTCAAAGAATGGCTGCTAGTTGCTTTTATGAGAGCAAGTGAAAAAAGGAGACTGATATCAGATAAAGATGAAATCACAGTATGGCTCATTGCTCATACCAGATTAAGTTACAAAATTGACACAAGTAGAAAGAACGGTTATTTGTACACTCAGCTTCAGCTAAAGTAAAATATGACAAACCCGTCTTTTATAAGGACAGAAAGACACCGAGGAATGAAAACCACACAATTACATTCAAATGTTGAATGACATGTTTTTGCTCCTGCTGCTATTTTAAACACATTCAAATGTGTTCAATATATTTAAAGTTGTTAGCACATAAAGTTAAGAAAGAAAAAGAGAAGAGATTGATCGTGAAATTGAAAGACAGAGAAGGACAGCTACATTCACAGGGTGCACGAATCAAGAAAATAGTGGAAGACTTTTTTACAAAGCTTTATCAGAAGGAGGAGATTTCAATCGAGAAAGTTAAAGAATATATTCAAAAGGGAAAGTTACCAAAACTACCAGAGAAATATCAAAAATTATTAAACCAAGAAGTCACGATCATGGAAGTAATAGAAGCAATCAAGTGACAAAAGAATGACAAAACTCCTGGCCCGGATGGACTACCAGCCGAGTTTTACAAGTCTTTCAAAGCAATTTTTGCTACACTCTTAAAACACATATGTAATGAAGCATTGTTAAATGCTAAGATACAGACTACTTGGACCGAGGCAAATATCACATTAATACCGAAAGAAGATACGGATGTAGCACAGATTCAAAATTACCGACCTATATCACTATTAAATGTGGATTACAAAATTTTTGCTTCTATACTTGCAGAAAGATTAAAGAAGTTATTAATAGACTTTATCCATCCAGACCAGAATGGCTTTTTGCCAAAAAGACAAATGAAGAATAACCTGAGAACTATCTTGGATATTTTAGAATATTATGAGATACATACCAAAAAACCAATGGCCTTATTGTTTTTAGAGACCCAAAAAGCCTTTGATAATGTTAATTGGCAGTTTATGAAACAACAGATGATTCAAATGGAGTTTGGTGAAAGATTTATGAATGTGATATCAAGTATTTATCAAAAGCAATCGGCCAGGATCTTAATTAATGGAGAACTTTCAAACCCTATAGAGGCACATAGGGCCAAAAGGGCACAAGACAAGGATGTCCTCTGTCACCCCTCTTGTTCATTATGACTTTAGAGGTACTGAATAGATGTGTTAGGGATGATGAGGACATCAAAGGAACTAGAATTAGAGATGAAAGTTATAAATTGCAAGCATTTGCAGATGATCTGGTTTTTATAACAGAGGAACCTTTTTCAACAATGCCCAAACTTCTACAACGGATTGAAGAATATGGTGAAGTTACGGGAATGAAAATAGAGAAAAAATGAAATTGTTAGTTAAAAACCTTACGTGAGAACAAAAAGAAAGACTCCAGGAACAAGTAGACTTGCAGATTGTTAAAAAAGTTAAATGCTTGGGAATCTATCTTAGCTAAATGTACTACCTTGAAAGAAGACAATTATGATAAATTCTTGAAGGATATTGAAGGCTTTTTGGAAAAATGGGCCAATTTACAATTATCTTTGATGGGAAGAATAGCTCTTGTCAAAATGAATATATTACCTAAACTTTTGTTTTTGTTTCAAATGATTCCCATAAAAATTGATAAAAAATTCTTTGATGACTTAAACTTTCATATCTCGAGGTTTATCTGGAGAAAAAAATACCCAAGGATTAAATTAAAAATGCTTCAGGAAGCTAGAAGAAATGGAGGTTTTGGTCTTCCTGATTGGATGTTGTATTATCAAGCGTCTGTTCTAACTTGGCTAAAAGAATGAGTAACGTTGCGAAATAAGAGAATTTTGTATCTTGAAGGTCATGACTTGCAGATGGGATGGCATGCTTATATGTGGTATGAAAAAGCTAAGTCACATGGGTCCTTCCTGAGTCATTTTATTAGAAGATCTTTAATGTCAGTGTGGGAAAAACTAAAGCTAAAACTGTATAATAAGTTACCAAGATGGCTTTCACCTATGGAAGCTTTTGTATATCCAAATGTATTGAACTTTGAAAAGATCGTAAGATATGGTGATATCCTGGATAAGGATGGTGGCCTGAAACCGGAGCAAGAAATACAAGAACAGGGACTTAATATTTCCTGGTGGTATAAGGTGCAGATGCAATCAAGATATGCTAAGGATTGTAAAACATGGGGGTTCTATAGAGACCTAACAGAATTTGATCGAGCGATGCTTAAAACAAATGAGAAAATTATTAAAAGACTATATGATTTTTTACTTGACAGGAAAATGGAAGGAGAACAGGTTAAGGAAACTATGATAATATGGGCACAAAACTTTGGATTTAATGTTGAACTAGAAAAGTGGCAAAAACTATGGGAAAGAAACATTAAAGTAACTTTAGCAACTTTGTATATAGAAAACTATAAAATGTTCCACAGATGGTATTTGTCACCAAGTCAACTAGCTAAGATGTTTCCAAATATGTCAAATAGATGCTGGAAATATAAAAAGCACCCACTTTATGTTTACATGTGGTGGACTTGTGACAACGCAAAAAAGTACTGGATTAAAATATATAGATGGATGGAGGAAATATTACAAAAACCCTTTGCTTTTAAACCCGAAGTTTTCTTGTTAGGCATTATACCAGAAGATGTTAACAGACAGGAAATCTATTGGATTTTGCATCTAATTACAGCGGCAAGGATTGCATTTGCTCAATATTGGAAAAGTGAGGAGCTGCCCACGGATGGATTGATTCTAAGAAAGATCTTGGACTGTGCAGAAATGGATAGACTGACTTTATCGTTGAAGGAGAAAGAGGATACTGATTTCTATTGAACTTGGGACTCTTTTTATAATTGGCTGGAGAAACGAGACTTGGCATAAATTTAGAGATGTTTTTCAAACTATGATTAACTGGAATTTGATATTAGAATGTTAAAAAATATGTAGTAGGAGGTTGACCCAGTGAATCTAATGTTAATGTTTGTGATGTTTGATTTTTTTCGTCTTAGTTTAAAATTTTTAATATATATTAAACATATATTAAACATATATATTATATAATAATATATATTAAATAATATATAAAATTATATATATATATATATATATATATATAAAAAGTTGTGGGAGAGTCCAAGACCAGAAATTAATTCATGCAAAGGATGAATAGGGCTCGCACATGTCCAATTGTGAAGTTTTTACAAAGTTTGATAATGCTAGGTGGAAACATTCTTAGTTCTGTTATCTTTTTGGGCAGCTGCAAACTCACACAAGGATCTTACTCACCTTAACTTCTCTGTATTTTGTTGCTAGAATTGTGAAGCTTCATCACTGGGACTCCTTGTGTTCATAGAACAAGAATGATATACCACATCCATTTCACCTAAAAACCAGTTATTGCTATGCCGACAAAGCTAAAACTGTATGTATGAAAATGCAACAACACTGCCCTCTACACCAACTAAATTTGCATCGTTTCTCACTGAGACTGAAAGTAACAGAAGAACCTGGTCTGTACTTCATTTTGAATATTGTTTCCAATTGTACCTA